GCGCCACCACCGCCCCGCCTGGAGACTAGACTCTTAAAATGAAGATACTCTATTAAGAGTCGGCAGACCCAGGGGCTGGAGAGTTAGCTCAGTGGTTAAGAGCACTTGTTCTTGGAAAGGACCCAGGTTCGGTTCCCAGCACCCACATGGAGGCACCCCACTTTCTCAGGGTATACCTGTGGTGCACAGATGTACATGGAGACAGAGCACACATATACATAAAATAGTAAAAATAAATCTAAAACAAGCATAAACAAATAAAAAATTTTCTTTAAAAACAGAGCTGACGGACCCAGTTCGAGGTATACAGATATCTTCCATAGTCCAAGTAAGACAACAATATTTGATCATCCAGTTTTCTTGTTGTTTCTGCTTTTCTTCACTGCCCTTCCATTATTTAAATCCTAGTGGACTGTCTGGAAGAATCTATTTCTTTACTTTTCTTGGAGCTCAGTTTGAGAATACCTGAGAGACTCAGCACCCCACTACTCGCCATCCCTACGGGGCAGGTTTTTTTTGTACTCAAAGTCTGCCACTTCTCCCTTCTCCAACTGATTGCCTTGCAGGACCGTGTTCAAGATCGGTACTTCTCAGCACTAGGCAGATTGCTCTAGTCCCATGACTGCATCTAGAGGCCTGGCTGTTGATAAGCCCCATGAGGCCACTGAACAGCTATAGAACTGTGGAGGGGGCTCCATGCCCATGCCCTGCTCAGTTGTGTGTCACAACAGAATACTTGACTTTTTTTTTCTTTGACCTGTGAACAGAGTTGCCTGTTGCCTTTGCCCATGGGCCTTTTAGTTGCTGACTTTTCTGTTCAGATCATTGCCAATCTAGGGAATACCAAATGCCCAAGCTATAGAGCAACTTCAATGGGGCCATGGGACATGTTTCTTCAATGACATGATTCTGGACTTCTTTGCAGATGGAGTTAGAATCCTGTATGAGTCCCCAACTTGTTGGAAATAAAAGATGGGACTCAAGGGCCCCTTGATACTGCACAAAGAACACACTGGCATGCTATCATCCTTTTGATAGAAAATATTTGGATTCTTTGTAATTCTTTTCCTCAGAAGTTACAGAGATAAGCAGAACACCCTTGAGGAGGTCTGTAGGCATGAGCTAAACACCCAGAAATGCATGACCACGAGACCAGCCATGTCAGAGCAGGCCTGGATGGAACCCAGTGACTACACAGAGCACAGGCCTGTGAATGAAGCTTGTTTGGCATGGCTGTAGGACAGAAGAAGGGTCCCTTCTCTAGGGTCCTGTGGATTACCACCCCTTAAAATGAATTAACCCTCTCGCTGTGACACGCTGATCTGTCTGGATGAATAGGCTCACAGCTAGCCGTCAGCTGATCCATGATGCCCTGTGTCATTCCTACACCTATGAAGATTTCAAGCTGAGGAAAAGTAGAGATCTTTTGATAATAGGGTCTGTCAGGGTTCAGTGGGCACCTCCTGGGGTTTCCTGATTAGTAAATCCCAGAACGAGGAATTAGAGGCACCTGAATGGCAGCGGAAAGTGGGAACAATTTATTAGAACATGATCTATTTCTAAGAAAGGCAACTGAGCTGGAAATTCTTCAGCGAGAAGAAAGTTAGGAGCTCCAATGGCCACAGCCATGGCTGCAACATACACAAGATGTCACATAATGTGGGCTTTGGGGGTCATCACATCTCAAGCATAATGTAGCATGTATTTCTGTTTTAGAAATGAGGGCTTGGCCAGGCTTTGGTGGCGCATACCTTTAATCCCAGTACTCGGGAGGCAGAGGCAGGCGGATCTCTGTGAGTTCAAGACCAGCCTGGTCTACAAGAGCTAGTACCAGAACAGCCTCTAAAGCCACAGAGAAACCCTGTCTCGAAAAAAAAAAAGAAAAAAGAAAAAAGAAATGAGGGCCTGGAGAGATGGCTTAGGGGTTAAGAGCACCAGCTGCTCTTCAGAGGACCTGGGTTCATTTTCCAGCACCCACATGGTGGTTTACAGATGTCTGCTACTCCAGTTCCTGAAGATCTGACACCCTCTTTCAGCCTCCACAGGCAATGCATGTACAAACATATAAAAGCTTAAAATAAAAATAAAAATAAGAAATGTAGGACTGTGGAATGAGGAATGAGGCCCACTGGGCTCACACCCAGTAAGTGTGGACCCCAACTGAAGATTTCATTAGCTTAGATGCACCTCAAGTTTATGCATCTTACATACATTGTCATCCTTAAATCTCTGTTATAGGTCCAGGCCCCAGGTTACACTCCAAACAATTTAAATGGAGACAGGAGACTGCAAGTCTGGCTTCTTAGGCAAATGGGAGATTTATACAGCAAAGACATTTTGTGTTCCCAGACTTACTTAAGTACATCAGGGTTGTTCTTTTCCAAATAGTTGTTACCCAGGGTTATCTTGTCCACCTCGAAGAATTATATTTTTTCTGATAAGAGTAAAGGAGACTTAATGATGGTTGTGACCCTATGCTCCCACCCCCATGACTGATAGAGGTATGTCTTTGGTATGGGAATCTGGGCCTAATGGCAGGTCATAAATCAGTACTGTCTCCCTTGTCCTGGGAATCAGAGCCTGGTGGTTAGTCAGTCCTGATGAGTAAACATTTACATCCTAGCATCCTAGATTTCACTTATCTCTAACAGGCCTAGTTGGCCTGTTACTTATCTTGGGATATTTTGAAATATTTTGAAAGCAGTACTCCTTTAGGCAGCTAAATTCCACTTGTATGACTTAAGGTCTTCTAAGAAAATCTATTTATCTTTTTTTTTTTTTTTTTTTTTTTTTGGTTTTTCGAGACAGGGTTTCTCTGTATTGTTTTGGAGGCTGTCCTGGAACTCGCTCTGTAGACCAGGCTGGTCTCGAACTCACAGAGATCCGCCTGCCTCTGCCTCCCGAGTGCTGGGATTAAAGGCGTGCGCCACCAATGCCCGGCTCTATTTATCTTTCTAATACCAATTCTATAATTTTAAGTTTCTTTTATATCAGTTCTATACAATTTCACATCACATGCCTCATCAGCATCTTAAATGTCTTCCTCTGAGTGTGTGTGTGTTCCTGAATATATAAATGCAACCTGCTCAGTTTGTGTAATGTTACCCTCTGTATGTTTTCATTGGTATAGGATATCCAATTGGTGTATTTTGACTGGATATTTAATATGAAATGCTATTTGTAAAATTCAAGCTTAACTGGGTGTCTGTCTTACTTTCCTATTGGTGCTATAAGATACCGTGACCAAGTTAACTTTTAGAAGAAAGAGTTTATTTGAGGCTACAAACAAAAGGATGAAAAGCATGGCAGCAGTCAGGCATGGAGTTGGGGCGGTTGCTGAGAGCTTACATCTTGATTTACAAGCAGGAGGTCGAGCCCACTCCCAATGACACACCTTCTCCCACAAGGTCACAGCTCCTAATCCTTTCCAAACTGTTCACCAACTGGGCATCACATAGTTAAATAGATGAGCCAATGGGGGAACTGTCATTCAAGCCACCACAGTCTCCTGTGTTCTTCTTCCTCTCTTCCTCCCCTTCCTCCCCTTTTCCTTCTCCTCTCCGACCCCCCCCCCACTTTCTTTTTTTCTTTCAAGACAGAAAGAACTTGCTGTGGTCTGGAACTTGCTGTGGTCTGGAACTTGCTATATAGATCAGACTGGCCTCAAATTCACATGGATCTGCCTGCCCCTACCTCCTGAGTGCTGGGATTAAATGTGTGCACCACTAATCTGGCTTAGGTGTTTTTGTTTTGTTTTGTCTAATATTTAAGTTGCATTTATTTCTTTTGTGTTTATATGTGGAGGTCAAAGGACAACTCGAAGAAATCAGTTCTCTCCTCCTCACATCAGTCACTGGGATTAAACTCAGGTTGTCAAGCTTGACAGCAAGTGTCTTAACTCACTGAGCCATCTCTGGTGAGTTAAGTACCACACCATGCAAGCAGGAGGTACAGCCTCTTAACAGGGCCGGGGACTCCAGGACACTGTAAGACACTAACCCATAGCATGGAATGCTGGTCCTGTGTCTGTCTTGCTCACTTGCCCCAATCACTCACTGCCAACATATTTGAATGAATAGCAACCAGCAGAGACTATGTTTCCAAAATGCTACTTAAAGATGCAACAGGTAAAGGGAATATGAGCCTCTACTTTTAGAAATACTTATGGGCCGGGTGAAATGAAAACATTTCTTGGCTTATTCAAGCAGGCATGCTTTTTCTGGAAGCCACAAGTCTGGGTAGCATAAGGCAACTCCCCCTGTTGGACACAAAACTTTGAAACCCATTTCTTTGTGCCCTACAGGCCATTTCAGGGTCCTTAGCCTGGTAGTCTGACTGAGCAGATGGGTTATGAGAAAGGTGATTTTAGGCCCTCGCATAACTGTCACTATCTGCTATGTATATAGAATATGGAGTGAGTCAGCATTTGAAGAGTATTGTTAAAGGAACTTTATTTTTTAAAAATATACTTGGTATGTGTATACGTGGGGATCAGAAGACAACTTGTGGGAGTCAGTTCTCTCTTTCCGCTGTGAAGGTTCTGGGGATGGAACTCAGGTCAACAGGCTTGGCAGTAAGCACCTTTACCCACTGAACCATCTCACCAGCCCAGGAATCTTTAGAAGGAGGCAAATGGGCAGATGCACAAGTCGGTAAATGGGGATAGTTGTCAATATGCACATAGGAAAGTTCTCCCGTCTCTTGTCTTCTGTTGAGGTGCTGGAGATCAACTGGGAAGCTTGTGCATGCTAGGCAGGTGTTTTACTGCTGAGCTACATCCCAGCTCTTGACTCCCTCGTGACAGACTTTCCCTGTGTAACCCAGGTTGGCCTTGAGCTCATGCCTAGACCTCACGGGTGCTTGGATGACAAGGGTGTGCCTTTACATTCAACTTCTTGTTCCTCTTTTCTAAGGCCATTGAAGATGCTCTGCTTTGCCTAAGAAGTTGAAATTCTTCTTGGTCGTTTTAACTGCTAAAACTCTAATGTTTTATTTTGCAGCCACTGCTGAAAAGGCAGAAGAAACCAAGCCAGATCAACTATTCCCAGGACCTTTACCAGGGAGCCTACCAGCTGATCAAAGGCCATTCTCTCCTCACTCTAGTGGGTATCGGACTGGAAGATCGCTTCCAGCACACACAGCCGTTCCCCAGATGACCTCTGCAGCATCAAAGCTCCTACCTCCGGTTGCATTTCATCACACAATTGGACACATAGTACTTTCAGAACATAAAAATGTCAAATTCAATTGCTCGATCAATATTCCTAACACGTACCAAGAAACAGCTGGCATTTCATGGTGGAAAGATGGAAAGGAATTGCTTGGGGCACATCATTCAATCACACAGTTTTATCCTGATGAGGAAGGGGTGTCAATAATTGCATTGTTCAGGTATGTGTCCTTTCTTTCTAAATGTCATTATACTGATGCCATCCCAAAAGTAGAACCCTCAAGTAAAAGTCAGTCTTGTTTTCTTTTTAAGAAGCCTTGATCCCTTTAGAGTATGGATGAACACTGACTTGACTGTGTTGTTGATTTCTTTTAAATGAGCTTGCCTCATGGTAACTGCTGGCTAACACACACTCTGAGGGCTTAGAGGGCTGTTCCCAACTCATCTAAAGTCAGTACTAAGTACACCTTAGATCCAAGAGCTACCAGGGAATGGGAAACTATGTATGGAGGAGGGTATAATTGTATGTGTGTGTGTGTTCATTTTCAGATCGGGGATAGAACCCTGAGCCTTGAGCATGCTAAGTATACATTCTACCTCTGAGCTATATAATCCATCCCAAGAGAAAGTTGGCTTCTTTTGGAGACAGCCTCTATATAGTCCAGCCGATGTCAGACTTACTATGTAGCCAAGGATGGTCTTAAATTCCAGATCCACCCATATGCTAAGGCTACAGAGCTGGATTGAGAAAGTGGTTAGTGTTTTTTGTTTGTTTGTTTATAAAATCATTTATTAATTTAATGTGTGTGTATTTGCCTGTGTGTATGGATGTGCATTGTGTATATGTACAGTCAGTTATGAAACACCATGTGGATCCTGGAACTGAACACCAGACCTCTGCAAGAACGGCATGTTCCTTAACTGCTGAGCCGTCTCTCCAGCCCCAGGAAAGTAACTTTTTAAGGGATTATGAAACAATATCAGCTGTTGGAGAGATGGCTCAGTTGGTAAAGTTCTTGCCTTGCAAGCATGAGGACCTGAGTTCAGCTCTCAGTGGGAGATGATGCATTCCAGTTCTGGAGAGGCAAAGGCAGGTGGCTACCTTAGTCTTAGCCTACTTGCTGTGTGTGTGTGTGTGTGTGTGTGTGTGTGTGTGTGTGTAGCACACACACACACACACACACACACACACACGAGACAATATCAATGTTGTCTGTGGTTGTGGTACTTTAAGACAATGTGGCTGTCCCAGCCCTTTGATTCACTCAGTGTCACCCGCCCTCGGTCCCACATGCTGCTGCCAGTTGTGGTACCAGTGCAGCTTGCACCCAAAAAAGTAGAAGGAAAGTTCTAGGGAATGAGACAGGGTCTCAGCCTCACTTTCTTTTTCTTTCTGTCTTTCTTTTTAAGTTTATTTTTCTCTCATGCAGTACATCCCAACCACAGCCTCTCCTCCCTCCACTTTTTTCCAGTGTCATGTGTTCCCTCTACTCCACGTGCCTTCCCTCTCCCCCAGATCCACCTCTCCTCCATTTCCCTTCAGAAAAGAGCAGGTCTTCCAGGGATGTCAACCAAACATGGCATAACAAGATCCAGTGAGTCTAGGCACAAACCCTCATATCAAAGTTGGATGAGGCAACCCAGTAGAGGAAAAGGTCCCAAGAGCCAGCAAAGGAATCAGAGGCACCCCCTCTGCCCCTGTTAGGAGTCCCACAAAAACCCCAAGCTAAACAACCACAGTGTGTATGCACAGGGCCTAGCGCAGACCCATGCAGGCTCTGTGAGCCCCTATGAGCCCTGCTTAGTTGATTCTGTGGGTGTGTTCTCGTGGTGTCCTCAACCTCTCTGACCCCTACAATCCTTCCTCCTCCCCTTTGAGATTCCCCAAGCTCTGCCTGATGTTTTGGTGCGGGTCTCTGCATCTGCTCTCATCAGCTGCTGGGGGAAGTTTTCCTGATGCCAGCCATACTTTCAGTATTCCCTCCATTTTGCAAAGGTAAGGTTGATGAGTTAGGGGTAACTGTGATCAGCCAAGGCAGGACATGTATCTGGAATATTCTGTTCTCCCAAAGGTCGAGTCATCCTATTTCAGAGGTTGTAGACGCTGAGATTTTGCTCTTCCTCCTCAGCAATTTCCTGGGTTTTGTTTTTATTAACATGTATTAATAATGCATATTAATGAGGTACTTGTGGTATATACACTATGCACTGATAGAATCAGGGTATTAGTATTTCCTCCTCCTTATTGTTCAGAGCTCATCTCTTCTAGAGCTTCATAAAATATATAACAGGTTGTTGCCAATGACAGCTATCCCACTGTGCTGTGGAGTTCCAGCACTCCATAGGAATTCGTTTGGGTCTGTATTCCTTTCATCAAACTTTGGTTCCTGTATCTAGCTTCTCTATTTTACACTTCTCCCCCACTCTAATTATCAGAATTTTGCATCCCGATTGCATTCTTTTAACCTGTGGGGTTTGATCAACTGAAGAACTGACTTGGCCTGCTGTTTCCAAGAGTTTAAAATGAGGTACAAACCTCTCAGAGTTAGACCTTTTCTCCTGACCCCCTCCCCCTCTCTCCCACCCCTCACCTCGCCACCCCGCCCTACCCCTGCACTCTGGAGTGGAGCCTTCTTTGATCTATGATGTTTTCACTTTCTCTGACCTGACACTTGGCACAATCCCATATGTGTCATGCCTTTAGGTGAATCATCTTTGTTTCCTTTTCAGAAAGCCACCGCACATTTCCTACAGACCTGATGACCGTGGCCAGAATTTAGCTTGTCACTATTTCCACTAGTTGTGCTTTGCTTCAGGGCAAAGAAGAGACTCCCATGATTCTCTTGGTTCATCTTATCAAGCTGTTCTTCTCATACAGTGGCCACACAGGATACCTGATTCAATTTTTTTTCAGAAATTTTTTTTCTACAGAAAGCAGATGTTTTACATAAACAAAGCTCACAAAGAGAAAAGGAAAACATTTAAAAATACATAGTGGGGTGCTTAATGGCCAAAAGAAACAGAAGGGTCACGTAGGTCACATGTTGCTTGAAGAGAGCACAACCCTGATGTTAAAGCCATCTATGTGACTATGGGTCAGCAGCCGCAACTCCCTGGCTTTCTTTCTGTAGTGATGGGCTTGGACCACATGATGCCAGCCCTGAGAATGCAAGTTTTAAAATGGTCGTTTAGGCCTGGGAGATGGCTCAGTAGGTAAAGTACTTGGCATAAGGACCTGGTTTTGATCCCCAGGACACACATTTAAAAAAGCTGAATGTGGTGATTTGCACTTGAAGTTCCCATGCTAGGGAGGCAGAAATAGGCAGATCCCTGGGGCTTGCTAGCCACCCAGCCCAGTTGATTTACTGAGACTCAGGGCTCCATCTCTGAACAGGTTCCTGCTGTATTTGAGGTGGGAAGGCTCATAGACTCTGTGAGCCTAACTTCCCTACACTTGGCCTTTCCTGGCCCCAGTTTCAGTTGTCACTTCTTTATCTCACTGCTCTTGGTGGCAATTAAAATGGAATTAAGGGACTGGAGAGATGGCTCAGCAGTTTTGAGCACTTGACCGAAGTTCAGTTCCCAGCACCTACATGGTGGCGTCACGACCATCTGTGACTCCAGTTCCAAGGCATATGACTGGCCTCCCTGGATACCAGGAATGTGCATGATACACAGACGTACTTGTTGGCAGAACACCTGTATACATAAGAATGATGATGATGATGATGATGATGATACTTTAAAAAGAGAGGAATGGGGGAGGGGCAGGGAGAGCATGCCTGTAACCTCTGCAGTTTAAAGGCTGAGGCAGGAGGATCTCAAGTAGGAGGTCTGCCCAGGCCACACAGCAAAGCTTTGTCAGAAAAAAGAAAGGAAAGGAAAATGGAGTCAAATATGAGCAGAAATCCAGAAAATAAGAACACAGATCTTTTAGCCAAACCACCATGGGCAAAGTTATAAACTTCGCTCAGAGTCCCCTTCATCTAGTTATGCATTATGGCCTCCCAGCACCAGGTGGAAGCAAAAAGCATGTCAGTGGGTCTTTGCATCCATTTATTAGTTGCATTTTCTTTTTGCTTTTGTATTTGGTAAACTGCATGTACTATAAGTCAGCACTTAAGCCCTTTGCGTGTGTGAAGAGCCATGGCAATAAGCACATTCACATTACCAAGTGACCCTGGCTACCTACGCCATGATACGTGCCCCACCCCATTAGTAACAGCTACTCTCTCTTCTCTGTCTACAAGTTTTGACAGCCCCAAGCACCTCATTTATGCAGCTCTTATAGTACCTTTGCTTGTTTGTACTTCTTTGAAGACTTGAGAATTTCACTGCTACACGTGAGACATCTCCCCGTATGCCAGCCCAGCATTGTCATACTGAGGGATAGAGATGCAGAATGCTTGTAGAGTATCCTGGGGCCAGGCTGGCCACCACTGCCCTGGGGTACGGGCTTCCCCAGTGCCAGCTCTGCAGCTGTGGCCAGGTGGTTCCTGTCTAGACACTGTGGCTCAGTCTGTGTCATTTGTTTCTGGTCCAGATGTTTCTATTTCAAAAGCTGATGGGTTTTTCATACCTTGGGTGGGAAGCCAGGCTAGAGCTAGAACCCAGGGTCTGGGTTTTGCTGTGCTTGTGTTCTCTAACAGGGCTACATCTGACCAGCCCCATACCATTTTTTTTTTTTTTTTGGTTTTACGAGACAGGGTTTCTCTGTTTTGGAGGCTGTCGGTCAAGCCTGGCCTCGAACTCACAGAGATCCGCCTGCCTCTGCCTCCCGAGTGCTGGGATTAAAGGCATGCGCCACCAATGCCCGGCTCCCCATACCATTTTTTAAAAGCAGCCATGAACGTTTATGAATTGTAAAAATTAAAGTATATTATGTCAAGTAATAACCACAAGCACATTTAGGAATAATAGTAACAAAATATGTGCTAGATAGACCTAAATAGCAAATACCCTAAGCCATAGCTGAGAAAAAATAATGACCAGTAGAGCTACATTTATAATATAGTATATTTATAATATAGTAATATAATATAGTACATTGCACCCCAAAGCAGCTTTTATGTATGTTGTATATTTATGTTTGTAAACACATTGCAAAAGTAGAAAGAAGACAATAGTAGCCAAAGATCCTTTTTGTTTTGTTTTGTGACAAGTTCTTGAAGAGTAGTCCAGGTTTACCTCAAACTCACAATCCTCCTGTCTCGGCCTCCTGAGTGCTGGGATCACAGACACACAGCACTGTGCCAGATGGATCAGATATTTTCTGTTCCAGCTGGAGCAGAAGCAAAGCAAAGCTAAGATAACTAATAAACCAAGACACATTTCTATATACCAGTGCCTGCCTGATCATCCTAGGAGAAGGGAAATAAGAGAGACAGAGAAAAGAGAGAGAGTTTCAATGAATTCACATTGTAATTCGTACTAACAACTCTGAAACCAGCAGAGTGTTGGTTGGAGACCCATGGAAAACTGACACTGAGCTTCCTCAGAGGACCTCAGTCTGCAACCGATTAGACAAGAGGTATGTCTTACTCAAAGGTTGCCAAGTTAAATGTCTATGGCATCTGAAAAATATCTGTGCAGCAGCATCTAGACAACCAAGCACCACGGCCTAGCTGACACATTAACCATCTTAGCACATGGTAAGTGTGTTGAAGGATTTTCTGTTTGTATAACAGGGACACAAAAGATAGTTGCTGCAAATTTCTTTTTGTTTTTTTTTTAAAGCATAACCAGTGTGCAACGCTCAGACAATGGGTCGTATATCTGTAAGATGAAGGTGAACGACAAAGAGATTGTATCTGATCCCATATACGTCGAAGTTCAAGGTGAGCCCAAAGCCAGAATACCCTGTTGCTAAGGTGCTGGTTAGAGCCTGCATTAAGTGTTTCCTGTGTGACTTGTAGGGTGTAGCCTACCTGTTTATAACTATGCAAACATTATGGATCTATTGGTGTTGGAATTTTACTAGACAATCCTCTTTTAAAAACTTTAGATAATGATGTAAGTGATTCAGTTCTTTCTGGTCTGTGTGTGTGTGTGTGTGTGTGTGTGTGTGTGTGTGTGTGCCCAGGCCATTGTACATGTTAAGCACATGCTCCACCGAGTGTTGTCCTCCTCCCCTGAGGTACCCCTTTCCAAGGTGCCCTTGGCAACACAACCATCTCATCACCTCTGTTTCCTTTTTTCTCTGTTCTACCTTCTACATCCTGCTTCCATTAAAAGGCGTTTCTAGTGCCCGTTCTCTTGTGAACATGAACTTGATGCCCAGTAACACCACAGAAAGCTTGAGAGAGGTAGGAGAAAGGGACAAAGGAGGGAATCAGTGAATGGGTGAGTGTGGAAGGGAAGAATCAAGGAAAAGCCCCTCAGATGATCTCATAGGGACCTTTGCTTTCCCAGGCTAGACAGCTGGTGGCTGAGCTATGTGAGCATCAGTCAACAGGAGGGCATCTCCTACACTTGGTATTAATCTTGTAAAATACAATATTTAGAAGTCATTTGTTTTTTGTTTTTCGAGACAGGGTTTCTCTGTATTGTTTTGGAGGCTGTCCTGGACTCACAGAGATCCGCCTGCCTCGGCCTCCAGAGTGCTGAGATTAAAGGCGCATGCCACCAACGCCAGCCTTAGAAGATAATTTACTTATCAGGACTCCAGAAAAAATGCACAAAGTTGGGAAAAGTCTGAATCTTGAAAGCTTTGAAATGGGGAAAAAGAATCCTACTATTTGGAACCAGATTTGTGAGACATGAGTTTATAAAACCCGTGATTTAAGTGTTGAGGCTTGCCAGCTTGCCCTGCTAAAACTGTGGGTACATGGTCCAAACCAGTAATTGTTGGCTTTCTCTGAAAATTTCCAGGCTCCCTTGTGGGCCAGATTTCGGAATTTCAGAATATTTTAGGATTATAACTATAAAACTGTGCTCATTATGTCTCCAAGTGGGTAAATCTTGTAAACTCTTCAGTTTTGCACAAATACATAAAGGTGTGTGTGTGTGTGTGTGTGTGTGTGTGTGTGTGTGTGTGTGTGTGTGGTGTTTGTAGTCACGCACAGTGCTTAGAGCATTGAACCCAGGGCCGTTTGAACGCTGAGTACGTGCCTTATATCTGAACCATGTAGACTCCTACGCTCAAGTGCACAGGTTTTAAAATCCATCTTTACCCATCTGACAGTCACACACACTGCAGATTTCCCTCGAAACTGAGCAGATCTTTTGTGTAGCTTTGTTCTCACTTTGGTATTTTTTTATATGTGTGTGTTTATTTGAAAGTATGCTGTGTGTATGTGGAGTGGAGTGGATCTTGGAGGCCAGAAGAGATGCTAGATCCTCTTGTGCTGGAGTTACAGGTAGTAGCAGACTGGCTGATGTGGGTCCCAGGATGAACTTGGGTCCTCTGGAAGAGCAGCAAGTGCTCTTAACTGCTAGCCATCTTTCCTGTCTTGCTCTGTTTGTTTTGATGAGAAATACTGCCAGCCTGCCAACCAGTGCCAGGCCCTTGAGCAACACCTGATTTAAAATCTGGTTGTGCGTTCCCTTCTGGCCAAGGCAGATGAATCACTGCGCACAGTCCCTAGAAAAAGTGTCCTAGAAAGCTGGCTGGGGAAGACTGGTAGTCAAGAACCGCTGTGCTCTTCCTTCCTCTGCCTAGAGGTGACAGTTGGCTATTTCAGACCCAAGGAAATCTCCGATTGCTGTCTCCAAAGGCTCTGCTTCTGGTTAAGACATACTCTGCTCCAATCTTTCTCTGCAGGACTTCCGTACTTTATTAAGCAACCCGAGAGTATGAATGTCACCAGAAACACAGCCTTCAACCTCACCTGCCACGCTGTGGGCCCACCTGAGCCCATCAATATCTTCTGGGTTCAAAATAGCAGCCGTGTGAATGAGAAACCGGAAAGGTCCCCATCTGTCCTCACCGTACCTGGTAAGTCTGAGTATTATGCTCATGCATGCATGTGTGTATTCATTCATCTCCCCCAGCCCCCACCCCCACCCCAACTTTGGTGATGTTTGCTGCAACTCAAAAGTGGTCAAACAATCAAGAAGCCCAGGAATAGGTGTGGGAGCAATAGGGGAATGGGTGTATTGCAAGGGAGGCAGGATGTACTTACAGTTGCCTACTTGACCAGATCCAGCCTAGGTATCCAGAGCTCTGCTTGCATCTCCATAGCACTGCGGCCATGCCTGCCTGGCAGGAATTACTCCTATGGAAATGCTTAAGTAAAGACCTGATTGAGGTTGGATGCCAAGAAAGTGTATTGCTCACGGGCACTGTGGCAGGAAGTTTGTGAGTCACTGTGGGATTGCTGGTGAATTGACATTCCGTGGCCATCTTGGTCTGTATCCAAACCAGAATGTCTTGGCCTTGTTCCTGCTCTTGGGCTGGCTCCTGTCAGCAATGCTACTGAAGCTTCCTGTGCTGTTAAAGCCAATGGCTCCTCTATTGCCCCTCTGATTGCCTCTTTGAGCCTCATCTGACAAAGTGGCCACACTCCATCCCTTATTCCCTCCTCATGCATTCAGCAAATGCTCAGGATCTGCTGTGTGCCCAAGGCAGTTCTAGGCTTGAGATCTCAGTGGTAGACTTTTTAAAAAGCACATGACCCTGGCTTTCTTCCCTTTTCATTGCGTCTTCTTTGTTGCTGGGCCAGTTCTGAACATTGGGTGCCCAGCTCAGTGCTGGCCCAGCTTCTTTTCCCTCTGAGACACACCCTCCTGGCTGAGTTCCTTGGCTACTTTCAATGCAGTCTGTGGGATGACAGCCTGGAACTTTACATCTTGGGCCCTACCCTCTCTCCTGAGCTTCCAGTTCCTGTGTTCGGCCACCTTCTTGGTTTTTCTACTTGTTGAGTGTGTCGGCATTTTAAAAATGCAACTCTTGATTCCTCTCAGTCTTCTGCCCCAGAATTTCCCTTACCAAATAATGTCACGGAAAGAACACTCCTCTCTTTCCTCATTTTCACACTGAAAGCATCAGCAGTCTTATGAATTCTGCTTCTACATCACAGCACAATCAGCCTCTATCCGTCTCTGCTGCGGGCACTCTAGTCCACATCACCATCAGGTCTTGCTCCTGTCTGGTCCCCGCATCTCTCCACTGTTCTCCACAGTGGCTCATGTCACCCATCCGATGAACCCCCATCGCTTCCTGTTGATCTAGACTATCACCCAGACCCCTTCCTGGCCTTGACCATAAGTCCTACATGCTCTGGCCCCTGCCCAGCTCTCTATTCCACGCCAATCCTCCGTCCAAGCTCACTAAGTGCAGTTCACACTGAGTCCTTCCATTTCTTCAGACACATCATATTTCTTCCTGCTCAGAACCTTTGCACCCCTCTTCTGTTTACAGTTCCCATCTGTCCTTTGTCCTATGACACACTCATATGTCACTTCTTAAGAGATGATCTTCACTCTTTTCATGGCTCCCAGTCACATCATGTGCGCATCCTTCATTGCGCGCATGAGGGCAGGACTTGTTTACCCCCAGTCTCCTTTCTCAGCATGCTCATTGAGGACTAGGACTTTGTCCTCATTTTTGCTCATGGCTGCATGCCATCCGAAGCAGGATCTCAGTGTTCTCTTGAGCTGAGGCCAGAGAGGCAAGTGAATTCCAGCCTCAGGCACTGTCTCTGAAGCCCCCCTGTGACCCTTGATTGTGGGAGACGTGTACAGGGTTCTCTACCTTCATCTAAGTTTCCGTTGAGTTTCTTCAAGGAATAGATAATTGAAGAACTTGTGTGTTCACAGTCAATTTAAAGTAATACCTTCTCTGTGGGGTAGCTGCTCCAAAGTTCACTAAAGAAAGACATTACTATTGTTATTATTTTGAGATACAGCTACTTGTAGCCCAGGCTGGCCTCGAACTTGCTTTATAATCCAGGCTGTCCCTGACTCCTTCATCCACCTGCATTTACCTAGCAAGTGCTGGGATACAAGCCTGGCTACCACACCCAGAAATACTAAGATTAATTCTGTGAAAAATGGATATTGTATATTTAATTTAAAATTCTTTTTTTTTTTTTTTTTTTGGTTTTACGAGACAGGGTTTCTCTGTTTTGGAGGCTGTCGGTCCAGCCCGGCCTCGAACTCACAGAGATCCGCCTGCCTCTGCCTCCCGAGTGCTGGGATTAAAGGCGTGCGCCACCACTGCCCGGCTAATTTAAAATTCTTTTTACATTTGTTTGTGGCTTGTGTGTATACATGTAGAGGTCAGAGGACAACCTGTAGGTCTTGGTTTTCTCCTTCCACCATCTAAGTTTTAGGTCAACAGGCTTAGCAGCAGGTGCTTTACCTACAGAGCTGTCTCACTGACCTCAACATTTTACTTTTTTTTTTTTTTTTTGTTTCTTTGTTTTTCGAGACAGGGTTTCTCTGTATAACCCTGGCTGTCCTAGAACTCACTTTGTAGACCAGGCTGACCTTGAACTCACAAAGATCTGCCTGCCTCTGCTTCCCAAGTCCTGGGATTAAAGGTGTGTGCCTCCACGAATGGCAACATTTTATTTTTTAGTTGATAAAAATATTATATGCACCAGGCGGTGGTAGCTCACGCCTTTAATCCCAGCACTTGGGAGGCAGAGGCAGGCGGATCTCTGTGAGTTCGAGGCGGGGCTGGACCGACAGCCTCCAAAACGATACAGAGAAACCCTGTCTCGTAAAAACCAAAAAAAAAAAAAAATTATATGCATTTATAAAATAGAGTGTGGTATTTTGAGAGACATATGTGCATTGTGGAATGACTTTAGTAACTAACATATGTATTTCCTCAAATATGCTGTTTTAATTTTTGTCATTATTGTGTGTGTGTGAGCATGTGTGTGCCACAGTGTGTGTGGAGACCAGAGACAACTTTGTGGAGGTGGTTCTCCCTTTCCACCTTTTATGGGATTCAGGGATTGAGCGCAGGTTTACTCAGGAAGTGATTTACCCCGCACCATCTTGCTAGTCTCATAATACTTGGGGGGGGAGAGAGAGAGAGAGAGAGAGAGAGAGAGAGAGAGAGAGAGAGAGAGATTTAATAGCTAAAAGGGGATTGAAGGAAAAAGTGGATGTATTTGTTTGGTTTGGTTTGGTTTGGTTTTGGTTTTGACATGGCTTCTCTGTACTTTGGAGGCTGTCCTGGAACTGGTTCTGTAGACCTGACTGGCCTCTAACTCATAGAAACCCACCTGCCTCTGCCTCTGAGTGCTGGAATTAAAGGCATGAGCCACCAATGCCCAGCAAAAGTGAACGTATTTTAAAGTTAGAAAATTCTAATCTCTTTCAAAAAAAAACTGTCAATTTCTTGCCCTGAGTCATGTGCACACAACATTAACAGACTTTATTTATTGCCAGTTTTTGGTGTTGTGTGTGTCTGCATGTGTGTGAGCATGCATGTGGAGAGCGCAGGTTGATATCAGGTGTCTTTCTTGATCACTCTCTGCCTTACTCTTTGAGTAGGGTCTCCCACTGAACCTGATGTCTGCAGATTTGGCTGGACTGGCTGGTCAGAAAGCCCAGAGCACCTCCTGTCTCTCTGTCAGCATGTAGACTCCAATCGCATACCACCTCTTTTACATGGGTGCTGGGGATGGAATCAAGTCCTCACACTTCTGCTGCAAGCATTCTGATAACTGAGCTGTCTACCTCTTTGATTGGCCAGTCTTGCTGGCAGAGTCTCTCACCTCTTGTAATACAGTAGTCCTCTTCATCTGAGACTTTGCTTTCCGTGGTCCAAAAGTTCTATTTGGGAGAAAATTCCAGAAATAAGAGAGAGAGTATATTCACATAATTTTTATTACAGTGCATTTTGGAGATTGTTCTGTTCTATCTACTAGGAGCTCACATTATTGATCTTTTAGTGTACCTGGTTTATAAACTGAACTTTGTCAGAGGCATCTGTGTCTAGGAAAATCATGTATTTTTCTGGAGTCTGACAATGCAATTTCAGTCATACATCAGAGGTCTTGGACATACTTCCTACAGACTATGTGTATGGGGCGGTACTTTATCTGATTTACTCTTTTGGCTCTCCGTGATAGCCTCAGAGAACAGGAATGGAAACTCTTTTGGTTGAATCGTCAGAGTCCAGAAATGATGGACAGAAGAGTGCCCAGTGTCATGTTATAAGAAAGTCCCTTCAAAAGTATAAATATCTGGTAACCTCAACTTCTATCAGGGACCAGAAAGCCAAAGGTAATAGAAAGTCTCTCAAAACCTTATAGATACAATATGGGTTTCACCAGCTCTTCTACAATTCCCAGAGCAGAGACCACTGTTTCTGTAAACGAAGGGCCTTCATTTAGGTTGCCGAGCTGGCATTTTCCACCCAGTTTCTAAATGACTACAATGTGCTACATTGCTTAAGCAATTGTCCTGGTTGTGAAAGGTTGGAAGAGTGAGCTCTGGCTTTGCTCTTTCTCTTTTCTTTTTGGTGATAAAATTTTTTTTTCTGGGGTGGGGGTGGTCCTAGCCGTTAAAGCCTTGTATATGCTAACCATATACTTTATCAATCACTCCAATCACTTGTTTTTAAAGTTTTCTAGGATTCATGTTGATATGTCAAAATGACACATCAGATTTGCATTTAGGTCAATTCAACCAACTTAAAATTGCCTCAAAAATGCAGCCATCCACCTGATACCTTGGGTCTTCCTTATACAGGAGGGAGCAACATTAGGTGCCTTATCACCTCAGAATCCTACAATTTTTTAAGACTTCTTTAATTTATTTTATGTGCATGAGTATGTTGCCTGCGTGTGTGTGCGCGCGCGTGCGCGCGCCGCTGCCCCCCCCCCCCATGTATGCCTGGTGCCCATGGAGGTCATAGAAGGGATCTAATTCCCTGGAACTGGAGTTAACTGATGGTTGTGAGCCACCATGTGGATGCTGGGAGCTGAGTCTGGATCCTCTGCAAGAGCCACAAGTGGTCTTAAATGCTGGCCCATCTCTCTGGCTCCACCCACACTATTGTGATATGTTTGATAGTAGAGATGGCATAGCTGGTGTTCAACAGAGAAGGCCTCATGAGGCAATGCTATATTCCAGTTAGAAGCCTGAAATCTACCCAAACTCTTTTCTTTTCGCTGTCCAGCAGTCAATCATCGAGTTCTGCACATTGTTCTCAAATTTCGGTGGAGCCCCTTTTCCCCTGAGCTTTTCCACAATGAAACCCTTAACTCATATTTTCCTGGTTCCTTGCCAGCACTGTTACTGTTGCATCCTAACTGTGGCCCGGCATTCCTGCCCCTGTCCTCTGCAGTCGCCCCACCCCCAGCCTGCCACCTACACAGTGAGTCATTCTCTGCTTTGATAGCTTCTCCTCAAACACGTGGAGCTTCTCACTCCAGGCAGGACCCTGCAGTCCGAGCCGGTTGGAGTCTACCATTTCACTGGTGATGTCCCATATCCCTCAGGACTTCACTTTAACCTTTGTCCTCCCACCTCTCCTGAAGTGCTGCCACCTACTCCCAGGACCTCAAGAGTCTCCGAGAGTCCACCAGTGCAATGTGCCATCTTGCCTGACTTCTCACGATGGTCATTCTACCCCAGCTGCTTTCTTCCTATTGTCTTTCTGGTGAACCCACATCATCTTCTGACCTCCGGTTCTGGGCTCTTCTCTGCATGCCTGCCTGCTCGCTCTGCCCTTATCTGCACACCCACTGGCCCTCTGACTTCTGTACCTCTGCTTCACATTCAACCACAACCTCTACTTGTCAGGTCCATAAGAGAGGCTGTTATTCCATTTAATGATTATGTGAGAAGTATTAGCTAGTACAGCCCTATCTCTTCAACGAACGGGTGGATGAACCACTGAACACACGAGTGTTTAGCCTCAAGGGCTGGAGATGTAGTTCAGCTGGTAAAGCGATTGCCTACCATGCATAAATCCCTGCACTGCATCCCTAGCACCGCCCAAGCTGGACAGAGTGGTGCATACCTGTAACCTCAGCACTCGGGAGGTAGAAGTAGGAAGATCACAAGGTCAAGGTCATTCTTGACTGTGTAGTGAGTTGGAGGTAGCCTGGGCTACATGAGATCCTGTTGTTTTAAAAAATAAAATCTTGGATACCAACTTTTCCTATCGTTCTGCTAAGAAAGTGTCAAATAGGGAAGTGGTTTGAATAGCGCTAGCAGGTTGCGCTGCTTTGGGCAAGCATATCTGCTTCAGACAGGATCTTGTTCCAGGCTGGTCTCGTTTCTGTAGAAGAGCTGGGGTTACAGGAATATGTCATCACTCCTGGCACTTTTCCCCTCTTGACACAATCCCTCCCCACCCAGCTCTGTGATGCGACAGGAGAAAAGGTACCGTGTCTGAGGCCATTCTTCTGTGTGAACAAAGCCAGCCTCGAAGGTTGCATAAGGTCTGAGCCCAGTGAAATCACCTTCTCAAAGTGCAAAATTACCATGGTAGAGAGCAGATCACAGTTAGTTTTCTTCGGCTAGGATGTTCCCACAGGGGAGTTCTTTTTCAGTGGTGGGATAACTTTGTAGGCACAGATCTGTAACTGTGACTAAAATTTCATAGAATTACACTATCCACCCTCCTCCACTCCAGGAGAGGGGCACTGGTAAAATCAGAGTAACATTTAATTTTAGTTACCAGCATTGTACCAAAGCCACCTTCCTGGTTTTCATCCTGGTGTTATCACTGAATAAAATCTTTATTACAGAGAAGTGGGGGAGGAGAGAGTACAGGAACTTGGTGCTATTTTTGCAACTGTGAATCTAAAATTACTTCGATCTGAATGTTTTTCCCTTTTAAAGAAACATTTTATATGGTAGAGGGTTTTCCTACCACACGTAAGGCCAGGTTTCTTTTTTCACACTGTAAAACAAAGAAAATGCCCAACACAGGGCTGAGGGTGTAGCTCGGTCGGTAGAGTGCTTTTTGGCATGCACGAGGCTCCAGGGTGATCTCCAGCATGGAACAAACCAGATGTGGAGGTGCACACCTGTAATCCTAGCCTTCGTGATGTAGGGCAGGAGGATCAGACATTTAGAGACATCATCAGCTGCGTGGTGAGTTCAAGACCATTCTGGGCTACTTCGACCCTGTCTCAGAATCAGAAAACAAAATCCTTAGCACCAGAAATAACAAGTAAATAAATGATTTGTCTTGGGCGGCTCTGAATAATAGAACCCACAAAGAACTTTCCTGCCTGATGTTTATGGAAGAATGCATTGCAGGAAATTAAGTATGGCCACTAGCATTACCGCACTGATTGATGATGTCTTGTTGCTCTGTGTCCCTGGACAACTTACACAACTTCTTTTTAAATTTAATTTGACTTTTATTTATGAGTATATGGGAGTTGTATATGTGAGTGCATTACCCATGGTGGCCAAAAGAGGGTGTTGGATCCCCTGTACTGAAGAGACAGTTTGGCAGTTGAGAGTACTTGTTGAGAGGACTTGAATTTGGTTCCCAGCACTGGTATCCAATGGCAACTCCTGGAATCTAAGAAATTCAATGCCATCTTCTAGAGTCCATGGCCACCCACACACAGGTGACATCCACTCACAGAGACACACACACACAAATACAAATAAAACTGAAAATACTCCTAATTGTATGTTTAAACTCACAACTAGCAGATAGCTAAACTAGCTTTTGTTTCGTTAACTGAGTATAGTTAATAGTATTTATTGTAATAACCATGATAGTGAGAATTTATACAAATTAGTTCCTTTAGTGCTTGCCCTAAAGATTTGCTTTGACTCCCATTGCATTTTTAATGCCTGTTTTATAATTGGGAACAAATTTGGGATTATTTGGGAACTTACTTGAAGTCTTCTCTACAGGGCAGCTGCTACAGAACTGTCATAAGCTGGTCATGCCAGTACTCCCTGAGAGCTCCAGGCTTCTCAGACCTCTCTGGGTTTTGTTTATTGGTTTTTGTTTGTTTGGGGTTTTCAAGACAGGGTTTCTCTGTGTGTTCCTGGCTGTCCTGGAACTCACTCTGTAAATCAGGCTGACTAGCTTCAGACTCACAGATTTCCACCTGCCTCTGCCTCCTGAGTACTGGGGTTAAAGGTGTGAGTCACCACTGTCTGGCATCATGCCTCGACTCTCTGATAAAAGTCTCTCACCTGCTTATTTCCTAGGGATACCCCAGGCTGGCTAGTAACTGCAAGGTCCATTTCCTCACCCTAGGTATTTCCTCTGAGGCCATTTCTCAAAGGGTTACCTGAAACCCCTCCCCCCATTGAAAAATCAGAGCCTGAGTCCCCACCCTCCCACACCATCCAGTCCTCTTGGTGGTCCTGGTTCCTGTCACCTTCTGACACAGCACTCCATATGCTTCATTTTGCTCTGGGGGAATGTGAACTCTGAGGGACAGGAGTCTGTTTTTATTCTTCAAGACATCCCAGGCTCCTGGGGCAAAAATATCTGGTACATAGTGAGTATTGGGCATTTGTGACTGAAACCAAGACAAACTGAGTTCCAAAGCAATGAGCCATTTTACCCATGCAGTGTGTTCTGTGTGTTGCCTTCTCTGGTAGAAAGTCAGACCCTAGAGAGAAAAAAGAAAAAAGATGAAAGAGCAGGATTGTTTATTTCATTAAATTTCAGGGTTGCTTAATCCAGCACTCAGAGACTTGGCCTAACTGTGCTCCTGGAAGTTGCTTCCTCAGCAGTTGTGACTGTATTTCCTCTGGGGAACACATTGTTCCTCAAAGTTCCTTAAAATACCTCAGGTCTGGGTCACAGACTGACATTTCTCACACGGGGTGGTGTAAAGGGGGAACAAGAGGGGTGTAGACCACCACCTGGGGCTTGGGGTAGAGGCTCACCCAAACCCGGGCAAGACGCTGAGCATTCAGGATCTGTGTGTGTGTGGGGGGGGGGGGGGTGGAGACCTGAGCTTTACTGATGCTTTTCTCCCAGGAAAGCCACAGGGTTTGGGCTATAAAACATTCAGGTTTATTCCAACCTGGTGACCATTTCTTGTCCACAGAGGGAACCGAGCAAGGGAGTCGGAGCTGACTTTCCTCCTAATCCCTCTACATAGCTACTCTGGCTGTATAGACGAGACTACTTGGGAAGTTAGTGCCACTAAACCAAAAAAAAAAAACAAAAAAAACCCATAAGGGAAAAAGTTACACAGGGTGAGGGTGTGGCTCTGTGGTAGAGCTCTTGCCCAGAGTGAGTGAGGCCCCGGGTGGAGGTGGGATACCTCTGGAGCTGTAATTGCCTGTCTAGTTTTGGAGAAAGTTGCCTTTGTTTGGATGATTTCCATTTCTGTCTGCTTGCATTGGTTTGGCTTATGGGCATCAACCACCTGCCCAATGGAACAGCGCTGAAGCCCGTCTCTGGGAGTTCCAGTTTGCTGTGGTGCCTTGTGCTGTTGAGACATCTGCTATAGTCTGTTTTTCTGACCTTGTGTACACTTTGAAAAAAAATACGAAGAGGAAAAATGACTTCCTCCTTGATGTAAAATCGAGCCCCACAGTAGCCAGCTTCACTGTAAGTGCTAGTCAGCTTTTGAGGATGAAACTGTGTTGCCCTCCTTCAGGGAGCTACAACGAAATACTGGGTTTCAGTGAAATAAACCTCTTTTGCAATTGGGCAGACTCTTGGACTCTTCCTCTCTTGCTCGGCTTGAAATGTGATTTTTGTAGTTCATACTCCAAGTGTGCTTCCTAAAAGTTTTGTTAGGCAGTTGGAATCAAATGATAGATACTAGCCTGCAGACATCTACCGTACCTAAAACAAATGAATTCGTCAAAGAATTAAAATAGAACCCCTGTGTCTTCTGATGGAGCCCAAACTTAATTTTTCTAAGTAAGAGCCAAGTATTTCAGGCTCCTGGGAGCTGGCAGGATGGGTGTGTCCTCTGGGAGATCAGGAGGTTAAGAGAAATGTTGCAGCCTGACGGCCAGAAGCCGGCTGTGACATGGAGAGGGGCAGAATGCACCTCACACTGTGACTGAGAGGGGCCCTGTCTTGCTCCCCATTCTCTGTACATTCTCTTTCCTAAAACGGAGGCCACACCAGGGTTTTGCTTGTTCATTTGTTGCTGTCGTCTGCCACCTGACATTTGCCTCTTGTTTCTTCCTCTCTCTTCCAAAAGTTGGTGCCCCCTCCCCTGGCGCCCTCCCCTAAACCCCAGTGAGACAAACGGCTCTCAGAGAATTTAGTGTCAGGGTCCCTTTAAGTCTTAAAATAATTTTTATACCAGTTATGCTTTTCTGGTTACTGAATTAGAAACTAAAATGGAAAAAATTTAAGACAAAGATATACAAGCCCATGTTCCACTGACCAATAGACCTATGATATCATCACATGACATCAGCCTCTGGAAAATTCCTTCATACATTCATGAGATAATGAGCATGAAAAGGAAAACAACATTGTTATTATGAGAATAAGGTAACTTTTGAGTGCAAGTGTCCCTGGGATCTCTAGAAGTCTGTGGACCCGACTCAGAAAACAACCCTGTGGTATTTTGTCTCAATGTTAAGGACTTTCTAGATTGCATACACAAAGAATTCCATGTAACCTGGCAAAGGAGATACATTTCTGGTGTGTGTGTGTGTGTGTGTGTGTGTGTGTGTGTGTAGCTTGTCAATCATGCATGAAGTCTTGGGTGTCATCCCTATCACTAGCAAAAGAAAAAAATGTATTTATTCGTACTAATTAATTACATCCTGATAATTACTACAAGTAAAATCAATCTAAAGAAAGAAATTTGTAAGGTTATTATTCAAAGATTTTCAAGCACATATGTGAATTCTATTAGAATAGACTTCCTGGAAAAGATAGAAAATCAAGGTGGAAAATTTTGACTCTTGAAGGAAGAGTGATTTCAGCGGGTGATGTTGCTGTCAAAATGTTGCAGGGGGATTTGGGGAGTAGGTATGCTCAAGATCCTAGATTCTAGCCTGTCTCCAAAATCTCTACAATCATATTTTATTCAGCTTTTTAAAGCACAAGAAATTTTGCATTGTAGGCATCAGAACTTCTGAGAAGCTATGTAGATATAAGGACACTCCACTTCCTGGAGGGTATTCATTCACAAGCATCCTTTATAGATTCGAGTAATGGGTGTGAGATAAACTATTCATTTTCAGAGAACTAATTATTTGCTTCAGTCACCATACAAAACAGCAGCAGTTTCATCTGTAGATGGTAGTTTCTGTCCCATCTGGTTCTACAGCCATTTAATCCCAAATAAACACATAGAGGCTTATATTAATTATAAACTAGTTGGCTGAGGGTTCAGGCTTCTAATTGGCTAGTTCTCTCTTAATTATTAACCCATTTCTATTCATCCGTGTATCTCCACAGTACTTGGTGCTTTAGATTGTCAAGAAAATTTAATTAAGCAATCCACTTCAGGATTTCCCTCCAGAGTGAGGGAAATACTCCTCATCTCTGAAAGTAAAATAACATAAGTATCTGTCACATTCTCAGGGAAATGTTTTACAGAGAAAGGAAAAGTCACTGTGAGAGTCATAGGACAGTAATGCAGGACTGAGTTTTTCCTTGAAGGGCCATGCCAGTCAGGAAAATTCGGACACCAGGGAAATCTGAGTGGAAAATAACAGGAATTTACCTGCACTGTGTGTGTGTGTGTGTGTGTGTGTGTGTGTGTGTGTGTGTGTGTGTGTGTCAGAGTGGGGTAGGGACTCAGAGTTGCTGTTTTTTTTCTTTACAGCTTCTGCAGACATATTCCTCTGCCAGTGACCACTTGGCTCTAGCCCTGACACAGTAGCCTGGCCACATGGGTATCAATATTGGACGTTTGCCTCTCCTATAGACAGTTTTTTTCTCTCCCTTTCATTTTTCAAGTTCAGTTCATTAGTGACAAGCTAAGAGTTTTCAAATATCACAATGGAAAATTCCCTATGCAGTAGAATGAAGAAAACGAAATAACTGTTTTTAATTATGTGTATGTCTATATGTGGGTATATGCTCTTGTGAGTACAAGTGATCCAAACGCCCAAAGAGGCTATAGAATCTTCTAGAGCTGAAGTTGCAGGCAGTTGTCTGACATAGAACCAAACTCTGGTCCTCTGCAAGAGAAATGCATGTTCTAACCACTGAGACATCTCACCAGTACCCAAAAATGAGCTTTTTAGGGACCAGCAAGTTGTGGCATATTTTTTAAAATGTATCTATAGTGCGTATAGGTTTGTTTATGTGTTTGTTTAAAAAACACTTTTAAATTTTAAAGTAGTTTTAGATTTTTGAAGTAACACTGTGGAAATAGTGCTGGGGGGGTCAGTAGGTGAAGCACCAGCCGTCGAAGACTGGAAACCTGAGCTCTCCACTCCCAGACTCTCCAGAAAAGGCTGTATCAACACACCTGTGTAATCCAGAAAAGGCTGGATCAACCACACAGCACACAAGATAGGTAATTGCCTGAAATCTGTGAACCAGCTAGCCAGGAGGGGGGCTACACAGTGGCAGAAACAGCGAAACTCTGTTTCTCGAAGAAGTGAATCAACCCCTAAAAGTTGTTCTGGAACCTCCATACATGCACCATGACATGCACTTGTACACATATATACACAGTAAAAAAATTTAAAGAAAACTGTCAAGACAGAGCAAAGGATCTTAATGCACCCCATCTGCATGCGCCCCTGTTATTAACATCCTACATTAGTGTGATAAATGTTACCATTGACGTCCCAATAGACACATTTTTATTAGCTAACATTCAGATTTTCTTAGATTTTAACACCCGTCCCTGTTCTGCCCCAGAATCCCATCCGGGATGGCACACTCCTCTCTACTTAGTCACCTGTATCTGTCTGATTAGTTACCCTGTGGTCAAACTTTTCCTTCTTTTCCTTGGCCTGAGTGATTTGAGGATTGCTGGTCGGGTGCCTTGTAGAACATCCCAACACGTGGGCTGCCTGATATTTTTTCATATGAACAGAACAAGGAATGTCACAGAAGAAAAGTTGCTATTTCCATCATCCAAGGGTACATTCTGTCAACTTGACCAATCACTGAGGGCGTGAGCCTTGACTAACCTGGCAGGGATGGGCGTGGTCAGTTTCTCTGAGACTGCCCTCATTCTCACCTTTCCCAAGCCATGTCTACCAGCTTTCTCAAGGAAGGAGACCTACATAGGGGCCTGTCTTTGTATGTGACCTTCCATTTATTTATGCCATTTTAATCAATACAGATGACTTGAAGCTTTATTGCATTAGGTTGCAACTCACTGCCACATTACTTTATGGCTCTGACTGTTCCAGCCTTGGCCACTGGAAACTCTTTCCCTGGGTTCCTGCATCTCTTTGATGACCCCCATTATTGCCTGCCTGTGCTTGTGTGGTGTTTGCTGTGTTTGTGTGTGCACCTTAAATTCCAGCACTCAGGAGACAGAGGCAGGTGGATCTCTGTGAGTTTAAGCTGATCTACAGAGTTCAGCCTGGTCTACAGAATGAGTACCAGGACAGCCAGAACTATAGAGAGACCATGACTCAAACTCCCACCCCTAACTTTAAAAAGGAAGAGAAAAAAGCCTAAATAACATTACCTCAGCATTCAGGGGTTGAATGAATGAATGAAAGCAGTTGCGTTGGGGTCCAGGGCTGTCTTTTTCTGGGTACCTGTAGTTTCTTCTCAGGATTGTTTTTCTAGAGCTAACACAATGTTTAGATTAATTTTATATTTTAGGCTAGAAGCTATGAACTAAGAAATAAAAGCTGTAAAGCCACAGATTTCAAGCGCAGGACAACCTGTTTCTTGGCTTCGAATCTCACAAGTGTCCTTCCATTCCAGGTCTGACAGAGACAGCCGTCTTCAGCTGTGAGGCCCACAATGACAAAGGCTTGACAGTGTCCAAGGGTGTGCAGATCAACATCAAAGGTAAGCAGGAAGGCCAGGACTCGCCATCCCCTGGTGGCCTGGGGTACCCACTGCTTCTTTGTAACAGTGGACAAGTCTCTTCTCTTGGGTATCAGTGCTGTTTGGGGAAAAATAGGGTAATTATAAAACCTACCCATTTTGAGGCTTGATGATTTAATACAAGTAAAACACGCATAGCAGTACTTGGCACATAAATCGTTGCTAAGCATTAGCTAGTGTAGTCCTGATTAGCACAGGGGAAATAAGCTGGAAGCTTTACTTCTGTTTTCACTTTTCCCACGTCTACCTTGTACTTATTCTCATTAACTCTTGGAGAGTCCAGAGAGATGGGGTCACCAGGGACCCCGATGTGAGGACTGGGTCAAATGAGCCTGATCGAAGTCTTACAAAAGGGAGACTTAGAACTGGGAGCTGAGAGCAAAGAACAAGAGGGACACCCATCTGTCTCCTCCTCTCCATTCCTCTCCATCCTACCTCCCATGAGCTTGCATTTCATTAGCTGGTAGCTCACTGGGAAGTTGGTCGACAGTACCAGAGTCAAAGGCAGATATTAGTAGAGACATTGCAGTTGAGTGCCTTGTCCTTCTACCCCTGTGTAAAAGCAGGTATTAAACCCCAAACTTGGAAGGAACGGAAAACCTAGAAGCAAATTCTGCTTTATCTTTATATCATCATCCTTACTCATAAAACACAAGCATGTTTTATGCTTTACTCTCTGATCTTTAGATAGTGAGAATAAATACTGGGTTCTGATCTTTAGATAGTGGAGTACTATCTAAAGATAGTACTGTTCTCTCATCCTTGGGAAATCAAAGGAACACAAGGAAAAGGTGGAATATGTTAAGTGTAGTAAGTTAAAGGTTGGGCATGCAGGAAAGGGAGTTTAAAACTCCGGAAGGGATTATAGCCATAAAAGTTTCTGATTTCGGTTTCAGTAAATCAGCTGAATGAAGGATATGAAATGGCATTTTGTAAGAGTTCATTACAAAAAAAAGACAAACTAAAAGTGACTCCTGGAGGAAGTGTATAACTTCCTTCCTTTCTGCAAATTCCGCTATTACAGTTTTCAAAGGCATGTTGGGAATCTCAGAAATCCACTAGTGGGTGTAGGCTTGTAAGGGCCTTTTACTAAAGTTTAAACTTCCTAGAGTTTAAACATATATAAAATGGGAAGCATTAAAATTTATGCTTCATGCATTTCTTTAAAACTTCAATCCTGTTTCCAAATCTCGTGGGATTTTTATGTGTTTAAGAAAAGATAACCTTGAACTTCTGGTCCTTCTCCCTCGTCTCCCCAGCACTGAGGCCAAACTTGTGTTTCTGACTTTATTTTAAAGCCTATGTCAGTGCAACCAAGACTACCTTGATCTAAACCAGTGATTCTCAACCTTCCTAATGCTGTGAGCCTTCAATACAGTTCCTCATGTTGAGGTGACCTCCAACCATAAAACTATTTTCATTGCTGCTTCATAACTGTAATTTTGCTAGTTGTGAATCATAATGTAAATATCTGTATTTCCCGACGGTCTTAGATGACCCTGTAGAAGGGTGGTTTGAGACCCTCAGGTTGAGAACTGCTGGTTTGATACTTGTGGCCCCCATGGTTTGTCACTGTAACTGCATGTGTGTATCTCTGTTTTTCCATAGCAATCCCCTCCCCACCAACTGAAGTTCACATCCTTAGCAGCACAGCACACAGCATCCTGCTCTCCTGGGTCCCAGGTTTCGATGGATACTCGCCATTTCAGAACTGCAGCATCCAGGTAGCTCCAGAATGGAGAGGGAAGGGGTTGTGTGGTGCTGTGTTATGCTCTCTGTTTTTTCCTCCTCCTCCCCAGGGTAGGCACAGAAAGCATTTGTCCACTTCTGTTCTAAGCCCTTCTGCTCCCATGCTCAGGGTTGGCCATCAGAGATTGTTTCTGATGCTCTGGCCACAATGCTGCCTTATGTTCCAGGACCCAACCAGGAAAGAAACATTTCCAAGGACAAAGGTCATAATGCCAGGGATAATTCTTTATAAATTGCAAAAATTCTCCCTGAATGAGAGCTGGTTTGTGATCAAGGGCCCAGGAGGCTGCACACTTCCCCGTATGCTCTTCATGGACTGGTGTTATGAAGGACAATAGTACCAGCCCAAGGTGCGTCATGTGTGCTGATAAGTGGAGCCCCTTAGCCGCTGTCTCTTGAGGAACCTGGGGATTACTGGCCTTGTAGAATCTTCACCTCTTTTTTAACAGTACCTAAAGTTGCTATGAAACAGGGCTGGGAGAAATATAAGTGAGTTGCCCTAAATGATAGCTTGCTGTGATATAAGTTGTGCTCTTGGGTGTTCCTTTTATGAAAATAGAAACGGGTAATTACACTGTTACTTACTGAGTCCATGGTATTCTGTAGGTATGTATTGTGTCTCATGCTTAAAACATACTGGTACTGTGGGCTCGGCACACTCGCTTAGTCTGTGAGTAACAGGACCAGGATGCAGGCCCATGAAGATCATCAGAGCTAGAAAGAAGAATGAATGCCACAGTCAAGTCAGACACAACGTATAGAAGCGCTATTTACCTGTCACCTGGGGACTGTCTGCGGACAGTATGAGTGCATCCTGCCTTGCCCTTTATCATGCACAGGGACAGAATTATTCTTAGTTTCCCGAATATCTGGCTTTCTCATTGAAACCTCATTAACCAGGCCAGCGAAATGCCACATGAACCTGACAACCTGAGTTTGATCCCTGGAATCCACAGTAGAAGCTCTGAGAACTGTCTTCTGACTTCCACTTGTGTATCATGGAACAAAGTGTCCAATAATAGTAATAATAATAAATAAATAAAATTAAATGTTAAAAAGGCAAACACATTAAACTAACACGGATTAGTCATTCTATCTCAATTTGGGGAAGTGACTTCCAGAGAATTTTGTGTTGATAACCAGATGTTTTGCATACCAACTGGAATTAATTTCTCTGCTCTTGGTGCCTCCTACTCTTATCTGACAGCTGTTCCTTCTCTGGAAAATAAAAACATGCATTATTTCTAAAATAGTATCTGTCTTTGCCCTACTGCTCCAAGCCATGCTTAATTCCTTCCCAACTTTATTTGTAAATCACTGTAAGTGGTAGCCCTTCTTGTGTCTACAATCTCTCACCAGGAAATCCTCCCAATTGACTGATTAATGAAATTTTTATAAACAGAGTCAGCCTCGTGTAGTCTATACTGGCCTTCAACTCACTATTGCCGTAAATAGCCGTGAACTCTTGCTCTTCCTGTTTCCGCTTCCGAAGTGCTGGGCATTGCAGACATGTGCCACCATGCTTCGTGAGAGGAATTTAATGCAGGCATTTGTGCTGCACATCAGTGCTATCCATTTCCCTCCAAGCATGGCTTTAGCTATGTCCCCATGAGATATTTGTTTGCTGTGTTTTCATTATTTCAATGGTTTTCTCACTTGTTTTTGTTTTGTCTTTTTCCTTATTTTTTTTGTTTTCTGAAAGGGAAGCTTTTTCCTTGAGAGAAGCCTTCCTGCCAGCCTGGTTCCAGAGCCGCATCAGTCCCAAATAAACACACAGGAGGCTATATTAATTATGAAGCTGTTGGCCTTGCTTGTTTCTTACTGGCTAGCTCTGACTTAAGTAATTACCCCATAATTGTTAATCTAAGTATGTCTCTTACCGGAGACGTTTCCGGGCTTCCTACCCCATGGCGTTACATCTCGACTCTCTTGTGTTTCTCCTTCCCAGAGTCCTCCTGGACTCCTAGTCCCACCTATCTAGATTCCTATCAGCCCAACAGTGCTTTATTGACATAAGACTTCCCCAACAGTTTTCTTATCTCTTTTTTATATAAATTTTATTTAAATTATAAACAATCTTATTTTACATATCAATCCCAGTTCCCTCTCCCTCCCCATCCAATACCCCCCACCGACCCTCCCATCCTACCTCCTATCTACTCTCCAGGGAAGGTGAGGCCTTCCATGGGGGATCATCAAAGTCACATCATTTGGAGCAGGGCCTAGGCCCTCCCCATGTATCTAGGCTGAGAGAGTGTCCCTCCATGTGGAATGGGTTCCCAAAGTCCATTTGTGCACTAGGGATAAATACTGGTTCCACTGCCAGAGGCCTCATAGACTGCCTAGACCTCCTAACTGACACCCACATTCAAGGGATCTGACTCAGTTCTACGAACATAGTTGAACAGATGGAATGTGCTTAAAACTCACACTTTTAATTTTTCTTTGACTAATCTTTGATGTATGTATGTAATGTACACACATGCATGTATGTAGGTACATGCACCCATGCATGTGTGGAGGCCAGGGGAGGCTGCCTGGTGTTCTGCCCTACCACCCACCTATTCTTTCTAGACAGCATCTCTCACTGAAACATGGAGTGAGGCTGGTAGTCAGCAAACCGCAGAGGTCCTCCTGCCTCTGCTCCCACAGCACTGGGGCCGCAGGAGTCTGTGTGTGCATTTGCATTCAACCTCTTATGCAGTTGTGCTGATTTGAGGTTGGGTTTCCAAACTTGTGCAGTGAATGTTCTTACTCACTGAGCTGTCTCATGTATTTCTAATGTTCCACTAGACAGTACTTAGACTGATTCCAGTCACTTAGAATCTATTAAGGCTTGTTTAATGACATAGCGCGTGTCCTACGCTAGAAACTGCCAAGGACTGGAGATGGTGTAAACCAGCTGTCAGGAGTCTTCAGTGTGGAACAGTTCAGCCTAGTTGGTTTGTTGTCTTTGTCTTGTATGCCTGCTGATCTTCGGTCTAGTGTTTTTATCCTTAACTGTGAGTTAGGGGTCAGGGTCTCAACTCTTATGTTTTTAAACTTTTCTCCGTTTAATTCTATCAGTTTTTTTCTCTGTGTGAGTTTGGGGCTCTATTGTAGAGTACAGTGAGGAATGAGTGTTGACATTTATTCTTACAGACGTAGCTGAAGTTACACAGCCTTCTGAAAGGCAGCAAGTTCAAGTTGCTAAACTGAGGAGCTGGAGAAGGTATGGTGTACCTTCTCTCATGAGAGTGGTGAACTTCAGGGAGACTCTGGGAGAGAATGGCTGCTCCTACCACCATTTTGACAGAGTGGGCCTCAGGGTAGATGTGAGGTGGGGGTGAGACAACCAGATGTCTGAAAACACCAGGGCACTTTGGTAGGTGAAGGTTCAAACACCAGCTTAACCTTCTGCCTGACTTTGCTGTGGCCTTACATAGTTGTGGCCTGTATGTAAAAGCATCCCAGGGCAGACAAATGATAGGCTCCTCTCACCCACCTTGGACATTATGGTGCCACATGAGGTCATTCTGCACTCAAACCACCAGCTGGCTCAGCCTCCCTTCACTCTTTCTCCCGTCCATCTCTGGGGAATCATTAGATGAGCAAATGACACAAGCCATCCTGATATTCACCTATATTGAAACCTGGCTTTTCTGAACCTCACACTGAATAGAGTACCGTTTATTTCCTATGGAATGTCTGCGGGAGTCTGCAAGTTGTATGCAGTGTGCCCCTTCCTGAAGGGACCAAGTATGGATTGTAGTTTGTCACCGTTTTAAACTCTGATGGGATGTGGGCTGCACACTATTGGGACACACCCTTTCACTTCCTTTGATCCTGACTGGTTTCTTTCTTTGCCCCTTTTGGGACACCTGCTCCATTTCTATTTTTAACTCCTTCACATGCTCTCTTTTCCCCCAGGGTCCACAGAGGGGGATCATTTTGGAAATTCTCTATTTTTCCAAGAACCAGCCTGTAAATGCTCACATAGGGTTCTGGAAATGGAATTGGGGCAGAGAGCCAAAGGTTTCCTCCACCTTAGTGTTAGTGGTTCGTCACCAGGAAGTCAGTGCATAGTTTAATATGAAAGAACAAAAAGTAATTTCTGCCAACAAGCCACCCCCAAGATAAGCACATGGCCCCTGTTTCTTGAACAGTGGTGGCTTCTCAGGCCAGCTGGTACCTTCCTGTCACCCATAAGGTCTGAGTCAGAGGTGGAGCTCAGGCTCCACGCCACCCTCATGGTATCCCCCAGGGGATTCCAAAATGTTCCAGAATGTCTATTTATGGTCCTTGTGCTAAACTGCACGCACAGGACCTTAACTGCATCTCCCTTTTTTTTTTTTTTCTTTTTGGCGAGACAGGGTTTCTCTGTGACTTTGGAGGCTGTCCTGGAACTAGTTCTGTAGACCAGGCTGGTCTCAAGCTCACAGAGATCCACCTGTCTCTTTCTTCAAAGTGCTGTGATTAAAGGTGTGTGCCACCATGGCCCAGCACAGGAATTCTTTTTTGTATTAAAGATTCCCCCCCCACCCCCCACCCACCCCCCGCAATTGCTTTTGGTTGCTTCTGTTTTACCCACTACTGCTCTGTCTTTTTTTTTTATGTACATGTACTGGAGAAACTATTTCCAAACTCCCCTATAACCCTATTGCTAAACAGGAAGTATGCATAAGGGGGGGTGTGGCCAAGGGCTTGATTTTTGCTGAGAATCCTGTTCTCTTGCTCTGTGAACATAGATATGGTGGTCAGTGTGGAGGCAATTGTGGAGGGTTTTTTTTTTTGGGGGGGGGAGATGAGGAAATAAACATTTTAAGGAATTTAGAGAAAGGTGTACTGGGTGGTATAGAAACCATCCTTTCCTGTGTTTCCCAGCTTCCCCCAAAACATACCCCAACTATGCAGGCTCTTGAGGTTGAGTTTCTATTGGAGTGGAGAGAGACACGCATAAAGGACTACTCAGCACTCCTAGAGCAACTCAAGGCAAGATAGAGCTCTTCATGTTACATAATAAGATGTAGGTGGAGTTTTCCTGTCCTGACTGCCTGCTCTCAAATAACTGACTGGGAGACTTAATATTAATTACAAATGCTTAACCAATAGCTCAGGCTTGTTACTACCTAAGTCTTACATTTAAATTAGCCCATGTTTCTTATCTATGCTTTCCCACATGGTTCATGGCTTGTCCTGTTGCTTGGTTGCTGGCGGCCGTCTCTTCTCACTCTGTCCTTCCTCATCCCATCATTCTTAGTTTGGTTTTCCAGCCTAACTTTATTCTGTTCAGCTATTGGCCAGTCAGCTTGTTTATTAAATCAATCACAGTGACATATATTCACACAGTGTTCAGAAGGATTATACCACAGCAGACAGATTTTTGCTGGGCATGGTGGCTGCTAATCCCAGTGTGCTTATATAAACCCAGCTACTTGGAGACTGAGAAGGGAGGATGATTGCAAGTTTGCCAGCAGCTGGGGCTACTTGTCAAGACTCTCAAAACAGAAATGTTGAGGAGGTTCAGAGGTGTATGTAGCTCAAAGTATGCAATTGCCTAGCACATGTGTAGGCCTGCAGTTCAGTCCCCAGCTCTGACCAAAAACAACAAATCATAGGCCTTAAAGAAGAGAAGCCAGCAGTCATCACACACTAGCTTTGTCAAGATGGCACCCTAAGGGCAGGTGTGGCATGGAAACTAGAGTGACTGGGAACAGACTGAGGCTCCATGGGGGGATTCCTGAGGCCACGTTTGTAGAAGATGTATATTCCTCCATGAAACTGCATGAGACAAGATTGTAGGCACAGAACCAGGAAGCTGGAAAAGCAATATCTAAAATGTAAACAGCCCGAGGACAAGATTGTAGACACAGAACCAGGAAGCTGGAGGAGCAATGTCTAAAGTGTTAAGTTTATGGAACTTGCCTTACCCAGAAGAAAAGGAGTGCAGCAATTCAAGGGTGACAGGATCTTCCTGCAAGATAGTCTGCACCTCAAAATCTCAGTTTTCTCCTAAAGTGTAAATTGTTGGGTAAGAATTTCCTGATTGCCTCAGAATCTTGAGTCTCTTGAAGAAGACTTTGACTTTCTTCGAGACCTACTTACTACTTTGAAAATCAGCATGACCAGGATTTCCAACTGGAATGAAAAAATAGGGTGTGACCTGAGAGCAAAAGGAAAAAAAATGGGACCTCCTGAAACTGAGAAGCTTCTGTAAAGCAAAGGACACAGTCAACAAGACAAAATGGCAGTCTACAGAATGGGAAAAGATCTTTACCAACCCCACATCTGACAGACAACTAATCTCCAAAATATACAAAGAACTCAAGAAAGTAGACATCAAAAGACCAAATAATCCAATAAAAAATGGGGTACATATCTAAACAGAGAATTCTCAACGGAGGAATCTCAAATGATCAAAAGACACATAAGGAAATACTCAACATCCTTAGTCATCAGAGAAATGCAAATCAAAAGAACTCTGAGATATCTTCTTACATCTGTCAGAATGGCCAAGATCAAAAATTCTTACTCCTCCATTGCTGGTGGGAGTGCAAACTTGTACAGCCATTTTGGAAATCCGTATGGTGGTTTCTCAGAAAATTGGGAATCCAATTTACCTCAAGACCCAGCAATACCACTTTTGGGCAACCCAAAGGATGCATACTGACACCACAAGGACACTTGTTCAACCATGTTCATAGCAGCATTATTTGTAAGAACCAGAAGCTGGAGGCAACCTATATGCCCCTCAGCTGAAGAATGGATAAAGAAAATGTGGTACATTTACACAATGGAGTACTATTCAACAGTAAAAAACAATGACATTTTGAAATTTGCAAATAGATAGAACTAGAATAAAACATCCTGAGTGAGGTAACCCAGATGCAGAAAGACAAATATAATATGTAATAATTATCCACTCATAAGTGGATATTAGACATAAAGCAAAGGACAATCAACCTACAGGCCATAACCCCAGAGAATCTAGATAACAAAGAGGACCCTAAGAGAGACATGCATGGATTCGCCTAGGAAGGGAAACAAGACAAGATCTCCTGAGTAAATTGGGGAGTGTGGGGGCCAGGAGGAGGGTGGGAGGGAAGGGGAGTGGAGAGAAAATGTATAGCTCAAAAAAACAAGCAGAGAGAGAGAGAGAGAGAGAGAGAGAGAGAGAGAGAGAGAGAGAGAGAGAGAGAGAGAGAGAGAGGTTGTGATTCTATTCTTGGTTGTCAGCTTGACCGTATCTGAAATTAATTAAAACCCAAACAGCTGGGAACACCTGGGAGGGATTTTTTTCTTAACTAAATCATTGAAGTGGGAAGACCCACATTTAGTCTGGATATTTTGAGGTGGGAAGATCCACCTTATATCTGGGCCACCCCTATATATAGGGCATGGAAGAAGGGAGCCTTTCTCTGCCTCTTGCTCTCAATCTCACCTGCAAGTCCATCCCTTCACTGGCACTGGAGTCTACTTCTCCAGGATTCTGGCATATCCTGAAGACTAGATGAAACATTCAACCTGGTGAACTGAACCATTATTGGATTCTTGGACCTTCCGCTGGTAGACAGCCATTGTGGGACTAGCTGGATCACTACCTGCAAGCCATTCTGATAAATTCCCTTTACATATATTCTATCAGTTCTGTTCGTCTAGAGAGCCCTGGATAATGCAGAAAATTCTACCTGGAATAAAGCATAATGCTGAAAAGTTTTTTGAGACAGGGTTTCTCTGTGTAGCTTTGAAGCCTGTCCTGAAACTTGCTCTTAGACCAGGCTGGCCCTGAAATCACAGAGATCTGACTGTCTCTGCCTCCCGAGTGCTGGGATTAAAGGTGTGACCACCACCTCCCAGCCATAATGTTGGAAGTTTAAAATGTGGTTCAGTGGTCTTCCCAACACGAAAAGGACATTACACGCTTGAATTCTGCAGCTGTGGTCTTGTGTAGGAGACCTGCACAAAGCCGGGCCCATCAACATTCTGTCATGGAGTGGAGACGTGGTAATAAGGCCTTTTTCCTTCTGAGAATAGGTGGGCAGTTAATAATTGCTAGCAGGGAGCCTCACTCCTTCTTGAGGCTCTGTAGGCAGTTAATGATTGCCTGGGGAGGGCGGGACTCTTTTTTCAGTAGTGTGGCCACTGGTAAGGTGCCTGTGGTTCTGTAAATAACCCCTCACCCATGCTCCTGTGAACAATCCCAATGAAACTCATTTCACACATGCACACAAAGAAAGCCATGACAGTGCTGGAGGATGGCTCAGGCATTAGGAGCATCATTTACTTTTGCCATGAGCCAGGTTGGAGTTCCAACACCCACATGAAGGCTCAGAACTGCCTGAAACTCTAGTTCCAGGGGATCTGGTGCCTTTTTCTGACCTCTGCCAATACCAGGCATGTGTATGGTGCACATACTTCCATGCAGCAAAACATTAGTACACATTAAAAAAAGCACACATAACAGGCTGGGTGGTAGTGGCAGTGGCACACACCTTTAATCCCAGCAGAGGCAGGCGGACCTCTGGGAGTTTGAGGCCAACCTGGTCTAGAGTGAGTTGCAGGATAAGCTCCAAGGCTACAGAGAAAGAACCCCTTATCTTGAAAACCCAAAAAAGAAAAAAAGACATAACAGAAGGGAGACCAGAACGAGGAAGGGGGTTGAGGAAACAAGAGAATGTAATGGGGATTGAATATAATCAAAATACATTATCGACGTGTCTGAAAATGTTATAATGAAACCCATTATTATGTATAATTAGCATACACTATTAAAGGGAGACTGGAGGGATTGCTCAGTGATTAAGAATGCTTTCTGCTCTTCCAGAGGTCCTTAATTCGTTTCCCAGAACCCACCTCTGCTAGCTCACCAGCATGTGGGTGCTGCTAATTGAGCCTAGGTCCTCTGAAAGAGCAGCCAGAGATCTTAACTACTGAGCCGTCTCCCCAGCCCCAAGTTGGGAGCTTTCGAATTCATTGTAAGCTACATAGGAATACTCAAATCTCAGCAAAGTCAATGGTTCAGTGTCAGAAGTACATGGTAAGTGATACATGCTCTGAAAAAAGATACAAGTATGTCACTCCTTAGGAAGTACTGAAAAGTATGCTTGAATGATAGTTTGTGCTGGATTTTCATATTATCATAAAACAATAATGATAACAAAGGTCAAGAAATCCATCTTCTAAAATGAGATCTGGAAATTATTTAAAGGGCCAGAGACTGTGAAACAAAAGAATAGATTAAGAACTCAAGTGGCTCTGTAAGGAGGGGGATTACTTTCCATTTGAGTACAGTGTGAGTTATAATTATCAATGTATTAACAATATAATTAGTAAATGTCTATCTGCTGCCTGCCACAGTGAAACGCCACAGTGTAGACATTTTCCTGAGTGCTTCAGTTGTTGCCAGAGTGACACGAGTATCACAAGTAATTCTGATGGGAAATTTTGTGTGTGTCCTGAATGAAAACAGCACAGAGGAAGGCCTACGTGCATCCAACACTTGTGTGCCGAGTCTGACATTCCCCCCACCTTACTAATGCTGGTCCACATCTGTACTGTTCATTCAGGTCAAGGAAGCCGACCTGCTGAGTAATGGCTCAGTCATGACTTTTAATACTTCTGCTTCGACACATCTGTATGAAATCCAGCAGCTGCAAGCCCTGGCTAATTACATCATTGGTGTGTCCTGTCGGAACGAAATAGGCTGGTCTGCAGTAAGCGCTTGGATTCCGGCCAGCACGACAGAAGGAGGTAATTCCTGAGATACACAATGAACATTTTCCCCAATGGTGTGTGATCAGGCAAGCTCTTCCCAATAGCTAATGTTGTGTACACTCTTGTTTGGTGCATTGAAAGAAAATAGTTTCTTAGTAACTTAAGAGGCTTAGTTAAAAAAATACAAAAACAAAAAGCCTTATCTGTACTATGTGTAGATAACATTTTCTTTTACATGAGAAGACAGTGGCACTATTTTTTTGTTTGTTTGTTTTGTTTCATTTTGGTTTTTTGTTTCTTGAGACAGGGTTTCTCTGTGTAACAGTCCTCACTGTCTTGGAACTCACTTAGCAGACCAAGCTGGCCTCAAACTCACTGAGATCCACCGGACTCTGCCTCCCAAATGCTGGATTAAAGGTGTTTGCCACCATCACCCAGCTGGTGACACCATTCTTAGAGCCAGTATTATTTTCAATTAACATGTAATGCACAAAGTTATTATTTATGGCAGACAACCAAGTTTTTTTGTTTATTTGTTTGGTTGGTTGGTTTTTCAAGACAGGGTTTCTCTGTGTAATAGTTCTGATTGTCCTGGAACTCACTTTGTAAACCAGGCTGGCCTTGAATTCACAGAGATCTGCCTGCCTCTGCCTCCCAAGTGCTGGGATTAAAGATATACACCATCACACCCAGCTTGAAAGTGTCATTTTTTAATTAATTAAAATTCTGACTTCATAGTTGTCTGAAAGGTGTCCTAGTTAGGTTGTTTGTTTGTTTGAGACTTGATTTCACTATATGGTCTTGACTGGCCATGAGCTTGCTAGGTAGTCCAGGCTGGCCTGGAACTCTTAGAGATCCGCCTGCCTCAGCCAAAGATCAAAACAGTGAGCAGTGGCTTCTTCCTTCATGGTTGCTGCTGGAGGTTCCTGCCATAAGTTCCTGCCCTTATATCTCTCAACAAAGATTGTGATCTGGAAATGTAAAATAAGATAAACCCTTCCTTCTGCCAAGGTGCTTTGGTGGTAATATTTATTATAGCAGCAAAAAAGTAAATTAAGAGACAGGGAGGGGAGATCTTGTTTTTCCTTTTAGTGTATTATAATGTTCCACTGTTTCCTTTCTTGCTTTGTTTGCAATATAATGTTGATAGTAAACTTGATTTTGGTTTTCTGTAAGATGTACTTTGACTCCATTTCTCTTCTTAGTGCTGATTTTGAACAATTTAACAATTGTATACTTTAGCTTCATTTTACTAATATTCCTTGTGCTTGAAGGTCATTGGGCTTCTTACATCTTGTGTTTGTAGTTTGTAGCACATTTGGGAAAATTTGGGTTACCATCTTGCCCTCACAGTACTGGAGACCGAATCTAGGACCTGGAGTATAGTATACAGTACTCTGTCACCGAGATACACATTGCCACTCTTACATATTTTTGCACTTTTTACCTCTCCTCTCTACTAAGGACTTCAGCTATGTGCACAACAGACCATTAGAATTCCCATAATTCAATGATGCTCTGTTAATTCCTCCCCCTTTTCTCTGCTCATTTTTCCTTTAGAGAGTTTCTATTGTTTGTCTTTGATTCAGTAATCTTACCTTGTTATTAATAATCTATCTTATTTTGTTCTTAGTAATCTTACCTTGTTCTTAGTCATCTTACCTAACCTGCTGCTAATCCTCATGCTGTGATCCTTTTCTGCTTCTTATATATATATCATGCCTAAATTTGTAACACAAATAATAAAAACCCAGAGACTGATATTGGTGTTCACCGCTGCCTGGCTCTATGGCTGTGGCTAGCTTTACATTTTGATCTCCAGTGGCTTTATTAAATCATAAATAATATATCACCACATAAACTTTTAGATCATATAGGATATAGTTAGGATAGTTGCTTATTCTAGTATCTATCTGGGGTGATTCCTTAGTATCCTAGTATTCTGGCTAGTTTTATGCCAATTTGATACAAGCGAAAGTCATCTGAGAGGAGGGAGCCTCAATTAAGAAAACGCCTTCTTAAGATTAGGCTGTAGGCAAACCTGCAGGGCAGTTTCTTAATTGGTGATTGATGGGAAAGGGCAGTCCTTGGTTAGGGGCCCTGGGTTCCATAAGAAATCAATTGAACAAGCCAATATGCAGCATGCCTCCATGACCTCTGCATCAGGTCCTGTCACCAGATCCCTCCCTACCTTGTTTGAATTCCTGTCCTGACTTCCTTCAGTGATTTAAGTGATGGACTAGGATGTGAAAAGTGTAAAACAAATAAACCCTTTCCTCCTCAACTTACTTTTGGTCATGGTATTTCCTCACAGCAATAGTAGCCCTAACTAGGACATCTAGTATGGATAATCTTTCCCTGGCTAACACTATTTGGTAGTATCATGTTAGAACAATTTCCTCTAAGTAGTAAGTCTTATTTTAGGTTACAGGTGAGCCAATGGGAAACAATTTCTTCTTGATGCTTTTAAGATTTGTTGAGCAAGACTACAGCATTGCTCAGAATAGAAATGTTATTAACTATTGTGGAGACAAGACCATCCTGTGTGATCGAGCCAATGACCTTGAGTCTTAAGGGTTTCCAGTCTGATTGATGGGAGTTAGCGCTGTCCTCAGTCTTATTCAAGGTCTGAGCTCTGATGCCTTGGAGTCATCACTGGAACTCTCTTGCTTTATTCCTCATATTTATCTTTCTTGATTTATTTCCCAATTTTCATTGCACTTATTTATTTACTTGTTTGTTTGTGCATGTGTGTTTTTGTGTGTGTGTGTGTGTGTGTGTGTGAGTGAGTGTGTAGACCTGTACTATAGCATGTGTGTTGAGGTCAGAAGACAACTTGCAGGAGTAAGTTATTTCCTTCAACCTTGTGGGTTCTGAGGGTCAAACTCAGGTCATCAGGCTTGGCCAAGAGCATCTTTACCTGTTACAGAGAGCATCTCACTGGGTTGAGCACATTCTTAAGTAGCTTTCCAAGAAAGTACCTGCAGAGGTAAAAACTGTTAGGACTTCTATGCCTTTGCTTCATACTTGGTTAGTCATTTTTCTGAATATATAATATTAAGTTAGAAACCTTCCCCTCCTCAAAATATTAGTTATTTCTGAGGTGTTTGTCTGTTGTCTGTCTAGTGTTTTGGTTGCTGTGGGAGATTTTCTGCACGGACTGGTTTTTTTGTTTGTTTGTTTGTTTTTGTTTTTGTTTTTTTTAGAACGTCTTCGGTCCTGGTGCTGTGATAGGCTGTGATGGAGAATGTGTGTCAGGCATCACTCTGAGTATCTAGTGACCTTTTTAGTCTAGAAGGCCAAGCCCTCCAGCCTTAAGCTTTTCTTTGCATATTCTTCCTTTGAATGCTTTCTGCTTTGTTTGTTTTCCTTGAAACTGTTTGAGACATTTTGGGAACATCTTTGATTCCTTTCATGATCTTCTTTCTCAAATACACTTTATTCCTTGCCTTTTTATTCTAGTTTCTTGAGTATTTACTTCATTTATTTCCCAGTTCTTTTATTAAATATTATTTTGCTAATCATGTTTCTAAATTCAAGTTTTCTTTTTCATTGACTACTTTTCCTTTAGTTTCCTTTTCTTATCTTTGTACATAGTAATTACTGTTTTGTTTTATTTTAATTTCCTTTTGCTTGGTAGCTGACAACTGTTCCTGATTCTACCCCACCCCCGATTCCCTACCCCCAACCCTCACTCTTCCACTCCATCCCACCTGGGGTAAGGGACATACTCTATCCCATGTGCATTTGTTCCCTGACATTCCTGAAGGAGGTTACCCTAGACTTTCACTGATCTGTCTTTTCTCTGGAACAGTGAAGAGCTGCAATTTGAGTGGAACTCTGTGAATGTGGGCGGGCTTCACTGTCTATTTATTGGATACTGGCCCACGGGTCTGTTTCAGATATATCCTAATCTTCTTTCCTCTACAAACACATCAGTAAGAAGAGAAGTCTGTTGACTTGCATGGTACTGATGTAAGAAACAGGTCAAGGTGGCAGAAGAATCCTCTTTCCTTGAGGAACAAACTTGCTCTTCTTTCTGTGGTCTTCAGACTTCTTATCATATCTCCAATGCTTTTGTGCCCTGATGCCTACAGCTTTCAACTCAAAATAAACCACCTTGTCTCCTGTGGGGATTTGGGGAAGAACTTGCCAAGTGTTGAGGGATGGGGCAGAGGTACCTCAAGGATGAACCACTTCATAATCAAATGTCCAGCAAGGCTTCCCAATCTTAGCCCCATTTAGTGCTTGGGTCCTCAACCTCTGAACCTCTCTATGGTTCTTAGCAGGAAATCAGCTATCTATTTTTCAGTGTTCACATATGTGTAGAAAGTTCTCTGTGGTTGATTCCTTTTGCCTTGTGAGCTTATATATTTTAATGCCCCCTACCCCCAGTGGATCATTGAAAGGGTTTTCAGTAGAGGCAGACAGAAAGACATGCTTCATTGGCTGTGCTTATTTATAAATTCTTCAGCATATCTGAAAAGTGTGTAAATGATTTCACTGGCAGAGTTTTAGATAGATGGCATTTGCCAGGTGGAAATTCTTTTTAACTTCAAGAGTCCTGCCCATGTCTGGCCATGGTGGCACACGCCTTCAATCCCAGCATTCGGGAAGCAGAAGCAGGTGGATCTCTGTGAGTCCAAGGGTAGCCTGGTCTACAGAGCAAATTCCAGGAGGCAGGTACACAGAGAAATCCTGTTTCAGGAAGGAAAAAAAAAATGAAGAAGGAAGAGTCCTGTCTGAGGATGCAGGAGAAATGAAGAGACCAGGATATCTTTTTTGTTGTTATTTTCCCTTAAAAAAATCACAAATATATAATTTAATCTCTACAATCACAGGCAATGATTTGGTTTATATAATTTCTATTGATGTTATTTATTCCATACATAAAACATGGTTTTTGAATTTATAAAACAGATTAATATGGGAGTTGGTAAGAGAGCTCTGTCAGTAGAGAGACTGTGTTTAGTTCCTAGCACCCACATGACAAGGTAAACGTGGTGATATGCACATACAATCCTAGCACTTGGGAAGCAGAAACAGACTGATCCATGGGCTTGGCCACCAAGCCTAGAATGATTGACAAACCTAAGTCCTAGTGAGAGATAATGTCTCAAAACAAACAGAAAAATGCAAGATGGGCAGCTCCTGAAAGATGACACCCAAGTTGACCTCTGGCCTCCATATGCATATACACATGTGCACACACGCATACACACACAAACACATGCATATATACTATTCCTTTTTTGTTGTTATTTTCCTATGATGAGTACAATTCCATATGTAGCTTAAATTATTGTAAATAAAATACTTAGTCAAAGAGTCAGGTGTGGTGGTGCATGATTTTAATCTCAGAACTCGGAAGGCAGAGACAGGTAGATCTTGGTGAGTTTGAAGCCAGTCTGGTCTGCCTAGTGAGATCCTCAGCCCTGAAAGATTGTAGTAGCGGTCTTGTTTCCTAAATTACTTTATGTATACACACACCACACAACTTGGCTCTGTTTATCTGCAGGCTCAGCATCCTCAAAATTCATATAGCTGAGGATGAAAAACATTTGAAAATCTGTTGTATCCGTACTGAAAACAGAAAGCCTTTATCCCTCTTGTCATTATTCCCTAAACAATGCAGTATAACAGGTTTTTTGTTTTGCTTTTTTATTTTTGAGACAGGGTTTCTCTGCATAGCCCTGGCTGTCCTAGAACTCAGAGATCCATTTGCCTCTGCCTGACTAGTGAGTCACCACTGCCCAGCATATAAGAGATATTTTTATAACATTTACATTGTGTTAGGTTTTATAAATAATCCAAAGATGACTTAAAGCATGTGGGAGGACTTAGGTCTGTGACACCTGGGAACTTCAGTAGCCATAGGAGTCCCTTGAAGATCCTGAGAGAAGACTACACAGTCACTTCAAGCTTACTGTCTGGGCACCCCTAACCTGCCTCCAAGCACACCAGCAATCCCTGACTTCCCATCCCAGTGTCACAAAGTTTGTCTTCATTCAGCCTTGTCCATTTCCTATGCCCCAGGTATCTACAGGGGGAACCCATGGGCACCAGCCTCCTTCTTCCCAGACTTCCTTATTGTTGTTAGCCTACTCTGGGTGTTTACCACATTAGTAAAATAGCAAGTGAATCTTGAGGATTTAGCCTCCTAAAACCCTTACTTGTAAAAACTTACGTGAGAGCCAGGGATGTGGCTTAGTTGCTAAGGTGCTTGCCCAGTATGCATAAAGCTCTGTTTTTAAACCCATCACCATGTAAAATGGGCACATGAAACTCCTGTGGCATTTCAACAGTCCTTAATTTAAAAAAATGGATAAAAATTTACCGTTAGTCTGGGTCTTTCATAGACCATTTGAAATGCAAACATTAGATAACCAAGAAGAAAATAAGCCTATGTGGTATTTCCTTATAGTTCTTCATCTTCCTCTCTTTCTTTTGTAGCTCCATCTGTGGCACCTTTAAACATCACTGTGTTTCTGAACGAATCTACCAATAGTGTGGATATCAGATGGATGAAGCCTCCAATTAAGCGTCAGGATGGGGAACTGGTGGGCTACAGGATATCTCACATGTGGGAGAGTTCGGCGACTTCCGTAAGTCTGCACCCTAAAGCACACTTAGTCATTTCCTTTTGACTTGCCAATTGCATTCTGTCTCAGAAGCTTTCGTTTGTGGGGATTGTTTATGATTGAGCAAGGCAAGGCACCTTCCAATGGGACACAAGTGATGTAGTAAAAATTAGAGATGACTAAACAGAATATTCTAAGGAGTCTTTGTGGGCTTTTCTCACTACCCCACTTACTCTTCATTAATTTATCGGCAGCGAATAGGTACTTATTAGCCTGTGTCTCTTGTCTTCAGGGTATTTAGGCTATTATAGGAAGAGTGTACTGTGAACTACCCAGCGATCATAGCTTGCAGTCACAGGGCTACAAGGTTAGCATCCTGGCAATTCATAGCCTTGTGGAAATTTCTGAAGGGTCTTTCATAATTAAGATTGTCATGGAACTTTCTTAGCTTCATGGAGAATAGCAAAGAGTAAGCAGCCTCCAGAAAAAGGGGCTTCAGTAATCCTCTATCTATGGAAGGACCCAACCCACCATGGGCAGCATCACCCCTAGGCAGGTGGTTCTAGACTGTATAAGAAAACTGCCTGAGCATAAACCAGGAAACAAGCCACTAAGCAGTGTCCTCCATGATTTCTACTTCAATTCCATCCCTGACTTCCCTCAATGATGGCTTGTGACCTGGAAGTGTAAACTAAATAAACGCCCTTTCCTCCCTTCAAATTTATTTTGGCCACGGTGTTTATCACAGCAACATAAATCAGACCAGAGATGGTGGATACACTGGTGTCACTGATGAGATTGACTCTTCCTTACTGTCCTATACTGTGGTCATTGGAAATTATGCCTCTTGAGTCTTCATGTCTCTGTTCCATCTAACCCTGTCGGTAGATCCCAAGTTAAGCCCTTTTATTGCATCTATCTGGGACATCACAACACTTCTTGGCAAGAGAAAGGGACAGCTACAGCCCTGCTCCAATCTTTGTTCCCATCATTTCCAACTTCATACCATCCAGTGGTTATAAAAATTGCTTTTTTCCAAAAGGACAATTGGGATTTGTTCTCTTTCTTTTCTGTAAGAAAACAGGCTGTTGAAAAGAATAGGTATGAGATTGAAGAAAAAGACTAGAGCTTAGACGTCCATATTGTTTTCCATCATGTGAATGATAACTAAGTATCCATAGCAATCCTACATGAGAAACCTCTCATTCCCTTGTACTAAGACATTTGTCCTAGCTAGGTATCTCAAAGTTAACTGAGTTTCTCCATGGGCTGAGTTAAGGTAGTGACTGGTCCGGATGGTATAGCATTTTCCCACAGTGGTGACTGCTTAGTGTAGGACAGAAGAATTTGGTAATTGTCCAGTTCAGTAGGAATTTCATCATTCTCTGTTGGCAGAAGATACCAGCAGACCCATATGTACGCTAAAGCAAACCAGTGTGTTTAAAGAGCTTTTCCTCCTGGTTTGGATGAAGGCTTCTTTCCTAAAGGGGATTTTTTGAGCTGTGGCATTCAAAGAGCAGTGGTGAAACCTTCATGAATGACTTGGCCTGAGAGCCGAATGCACCGAGTGCCACTCACACCCAGCCATGTCCTGCATTCTCATGCCCTTTGTTCAGACGAGTCCCCTCTGCAGTGAGAACAATATAGGCACAGTTCAGGCTGTGACCTTTCAGTAGCTTACCTCCTTGCAGATGTCAAGTCATCCAGTCATGAGGTCATTTGCATTGCGCCCACACTGTATTTCATGCCTTGTGACAATAACAGGCCGAGTTGGTCACGTTACTTCGAGAACATTCTCTGCTGCACTTATGCTTTTGTCTCATGACTTGAACCTGGAAGCAAAGAGGGGACCCTGAAGAAGTCCCAGAGGGTCCAACCAGGCTGAAGCGACATTTGTTCTCAATGACCTGGGCATGTGTCACTTCATTTCTAGGACTCTCTTCATCTTGAAAGGCCACAGCTGACACAACTGTCCTTTCATTTGCACTTTTAGCTACTTCTTATGTAAGGCAGGAAATGGGACACTTCTGAAATTTCTGACTGACAGCTGCAATAAGTTGAGTTTTGTATTTGTGCAATTTCAGAACTTTCTTGGAAGAGCTCTCCGGGTGGTTTGTTTTAGTGGCACTGAAGATAGACTTGTACCTTTGTCATCTAGTAACCTTTATGTCACTGTGTCAAGCAGTAGGGATTTCATGTTTCTTTTTTCTTTCTTATTTTTCTTTTGGTTTTCGAGATAGGGTTTCTCTGCATAGCCCTGGCTGTCCTGGAACTTGCTCTGTAGACCAGACTGGCCTCAAACTCACAGAGATCTGCCTGCCTCTGCTTCTTGAGTGCTGGGATTAAAGATGTGTACTACCATTGCCCTGCTCAAATTTAATGTTTCCTTATTGGCAGAAAATAGTGACTGCCAATGGCAGAATTCTGGGTGCTCTACAAGCCAACCAGTGCCTGGTCAGCCCTTCTGCCACTCTTCTAGTGAGGCCCTTTTGAACTGAGGTATGTGAAGGCTGATCCTGATGGACATGTGAATGGCGGTGACTGAGTGGTCTGCTTCATGGGTCGCCAACAATGCTCAGCTGTTCTGTGTTCCCGGTACCCTTCAGAATGGTGCCCTGTGCAGTGAGAATGGCATGGGCAACTAGAGAAAGAAGCTTCTAGTCCTTACTGCTTAGACATTTCTTATATCTCAGTGAAGATTTTTGCCATCTTTGCTTTATTTGTTTTTATGTATTTATTTAATTATTTATTGCCTTCCAAATTAGAGCTCAAAATGCATTTTCGTTCAGGCTACAGTCTTGTTCATCTCTTCACTGTGCACTGCCTGAACATGGGGCCTTACCCTTGCTTTGCAGGTATCTGTGGTGCTATGGGCCCAATATGTGGAACCTGCAGCACCATCTAAACCAGCTCTAAAATGTAACTCTGAGTGGGGATTATAGCTCTAATGCTGGTTTAATCTGTGTTTGTAGTGGGTAGAGATTTTCGATCAGATGGGAGTCTCAACAGATTATTGTGGTCTTGAAACAATGTGATTGGACTTTGGGTATATATAGCTTAGTAGTAGGGTGCTTGCCTTTCATGCACCAGGACCTAGGTTTGATCCCCAGAACCATCAAACACACACACACACACACACACACACACACACACACACACACACACACAATGTGAGACCAAGTACGCCTAAGGATTCCTTGGACAGAGACCTCTGCTTCCTCCTGAGTTTGCCAGTGACTGCCAGGGCAGCAGAGATGTGTCTGCATATTGACATGCTACCTGCTACTTGCCCCTTCCCTTGTCTCCTCTCTCTCTCTCTCTCTCTCTCTCTCTCTCTCTCTCTCTCTCTCTCTCTCTCTCTGCCTGCCAAATGGCAGGGTATTAAAAAGGGTATAATTTTTAGACCTGAGAAACAGTCAGTGTTCTTATGATATAGATCAGGGTTTTAAGCCATATATGAAACTCAGGAATCAATGGAGAACAGTTCTCTTTGATTAGAGGAAAAGTTTGCCATGAAGGTAATCTCCAAGTGGGTCATGGATGTCCTGCTTTAGAAAGTTAGACAGTTTAATTTCTTCCAGTGCTCCAAGGTTTGTAAGACACCATGAGACTGATGTTAAAGGAAGACCCTACAGCTAAAGAGGAGGGAGGCCCTAGCACAGCACCTTGATGAACACAATCCAGGATACTAAGAACCACCATTGATTTTTTTTTCAGACTGCAAACTGTTTTCTATCAGGGACTTGTTTTAACTCCTATGTAAACACTATGAAAAGGACAGTCATCTTAGTTTTCACCCAAGGGAACAAGGCTTAGAGGTGTTGTGTGACTCACCCAGAGCCACAAGGCTTGGAACTGGAGATCTGGTGATAAGAACCAGGGCTTGGCTGACTATAAATTCCCAGCAGCCAGCCTCTCTTCCTAATGAATAGTCTCACACTCAGCTCCACAGTGTAGCCCCTCAGAAGCAATGGTAGGAAGATAACGGGTTTGTCATCCGTGCCTGCAAATCTGAGCACTTAGCAATGGCCTTCGATACTTGTGTGACACAGCTTTTATCGGATACTTCTTCCCTCATTGAAGTTATTGCTGTTGGGGCTGGAAATGGGTCATGTTTTTAGACACAGTTATCGGGTACAGGGTGTGAATTCTTATAGAATATTTGGTGATGTTAAAGTCATTTGATAATCATAAAACAAAATACCATAGTTGTTCTGTCTTAACTCCAAGCCACACCCTCAAGAAAAAAAAAGAAATTGTCTTTCCAAAGATGTGCTGTCACTTTCTTACTCCCCAAAGTCTATAATATCATTTTCAAAGTAATTATGGGAAATTGCATTCAAATGCCACAGTATAAATTGGGCTTCATTACCTGAAAAAATGCTGGTAGATTTTCAAGTCCTTATCTTACTGAATAATGAATGCTCACTAAACAAGAAATATGCAGTTTGCCCATGGCACACATCTCATGAGCAGACAGATCACTGCATGCTGGGAAAGGGCTCTGCTCTGTACCCTGACCACCCCAAGACAAGATGTGTGTGGTAGATTCTTAGTAATCCAGTCTTAAATCTATTGCACAGTGTCCAAAATCAGAACTTGCTGGTTTAGACGCTGTTCTATGCACTTTTCCCAGGTTAGTTCTTGGCTTGTGTTAATTCCTCTTGGGAATCAAAGGTGAAAATGAAAAATAATTTCTCTGGGTTTTCATAATGAATTATAGGCCCCAAGTAAATAGACATTGTAAACCATAGCTGGCCTTCCATGTACATCTATGGACTCAATTAATCACAGATTGAAAATATTCAGAAAATAAATCATGCCTATTAGTAAACATTTCATTTTCCCAGCCAGGCATGGTTGTACTATAATCCTAGCACTGGGGAACTGTGGTTATAAAAACTGCTGTCAGTTCAAAACCAGCCTGGTCTATATAGTGAGTGTCCAGCCAGGCAGGTCTACAGAGTAAGACTCTATATCAAAATATTTGTTTTTGTTGTTGTTTTATCTGAGACAGGACCTTATTAGGTAGCCCTTGCTGGCCTGGAATTTTCAGCAATCCTCCTGCCTCTGCCTCCCCATTGCTGAGATTATATATATATATATATATATATATATATATATATATATATATATATACCAAGCCCATTTTTTGTTTGTTTCTTTCTTTTATTTTTGAGGCTAGGAATGTATTTCAGTGCTACAAACCATGTTCAGTATACATAAAACCCTGGATTTGCTCCATAGGGCATGGTGGTGCATGCTTCTAATTCCATCACTTGGGATCAGAGGCAGGCAGAGCTCTGGGTGTTCAAGGCCAGCATGATCTACAGAGAGAGTTCTAGGACAGCCAGGGCTGATACAGAGAAACCTTATCTCAAAAAAATTTTTTTATTGTTTGGGCCATTATTCCCTAAGCAATCTACAACAATAACAATATTATATGAATAACCATATTGTTAAAAACTGTAATATAGCAGCTGTTGATACTTTGTTGGGTTTTACAAATTATCAGAGAATTTACACATGCCCACATGGGTTGGGTATTACAAGTTGTCAGAGGATTTACACATGCCCACATGGGTTGGGTATTACAAGTTACAGAGGCTTTACACATGCCCACGTGGGTTGCGGAACTCTCATGGCCCCACTCCTAGATGAAGAGCTACAAGTAGTTAATGACTGCTGAGAGAGGAAGAATCCATTCTCTTCAGAGATGAGCCCCATTATAGGTTATTCAATCCCCATGGTCAGCCTTAAATACATGCCACATCAGCAATGCTAAATGGATTCAGAGGGAGTGTGTGTGTGTGTGTGTGTGTGTGTGTGTGTGTGTGTGTGTGTAATAAGTAAAGAAGGTTATGAATTTGTGAGGGACTGAAGGAAATATAAATACTCATATGTGAAATTCTCAAAATATTATAGTTTTTTTACAAAAGAATTTATAGTGAGTTGTAAGCAAATACTGTGTCCATGTATTCATACTGAGGATGACACCCAAAGCATCATTTTAGCTAAGCGTGTGCCCACCACTGAGCACACACCCAGCCATTTTGTGTGGGAACTAACCCTGTACAGATTCCAAGGAACAAATGTACTGTTACGTTTATTTTTTTTAATTTTGTGTTTGTTAGGCTTTATATTGGTCTAGGTATGTCATTTTTCCTAGTTGTATGTTTTTTTTAATTTATAAGTAATTTCTCTTTAAATGAAGTATCACATCTGAATCTTGCAGGAAAAAACAATATATGCAGGCCCGTTTCCTTTTTAGCGTAAAGTCCTATGCTTTGAAGATCAGACAGGCTGAGAGCTATACTATGGACTTTTTCTCAGTGAGAAAAGCCTGAGTCACTACAGGACTCCGGGACTCAGGGTGTGGACTATGGAGTTACACTACCTGATGATTTTCAGTTCTATCTACACCCAAATTAAATGTAGAATTACAAACTAACCCACTGTCAAAATAAAACACTTTCTTTCTAAAAAGGACCAACCTAGGATATGCAGCCCCACCATTGCTAACTTCTCATTTGTTTATTTAACAACAACAAAAATCTTTGCAATACAGTGAGCTCAGGCCTTGGGGAGAAGGGTAGAGGTGGTGTCTCCTTTTTCATGTCTTTCTCTCCCTGGACTTAAGGGTCACTTTTGGTTTAGATTGGAAATAGCTCTGGAAGGCCAAGCCAGGTGCCTCTTGGTCAGGAATGACCAACCAGTCTGCTCTGTCCTTGAGGCTGAGCTAGCTCTGGCCTGCACCATTTCTAGAAGTGACTGTCTTGAAACCCAATGAACCTGCGATGAGGTTACCACCAACCACGTCTCCAGCCCAAAGATGGTTTGTGGCACCTGTTCCCCACATGACCTGTTATTTCCCTCTGAAATCAAAAGTCCACCATCCTGGGCTGAATGAGGTTCCCAGAGCCTCGTTCCCAACTGAAAACTCTACAGCTGTCACTTTAAAAGGTGGACTGATTTGGTATTGGGCTACCAATTAGTGTGCCCTTCCCTGGGGAAGACTTTTTCTCCCACTGTCAGTGTTCCTTAAGCATGCAGTTCTTTGTGTAGGGCTGAAGCCTCATGGGCTTTCCCCTATTTACTTTTGTATGTCTATTGGTGCTATCTTTATTTATCCCTGAAGACATACATACAAATAGCATGTAAATACATATAAGCATATAGCGACAGTAATGAAAAACAGAGGTTATGAATTAGAAGAACAAGGAGGGGTATGTGAAAGGGTTTAGAGGGAGGAAAGAGAAAGCAGAAATGATGGGATCATAATATGATTTCAAAAATAGCAAAATTTAAAAGTCCAGGTCCAAATATATTTGCCACAACAAAGAGTATTGTGACCATGGAGGTCTGGAAAGCCTGAGGAACAGGCCAGTTAAGTCTGTTTCCCTCCCTGGGTCTTCATGGGTCACTGTTGCATGGCAATGACTTTAAAACAACAGCAGTAAAAGTAAACCCAGGCTTCAAAAATTGTACAAATTGGGGCTGGAGAGGTGACTCAGTGGTTAAGAACACTGGCTGCTCTTCCAAAGGACCCAGGCTCAATTCCTAGCACTTACATAGTGGGTCACAACCACCTGAACTACAGTTCCAAGGGATCCAAAACCCTCTTCTGGCCTCCATGGGCACCAGGCATACATTTAGTACACAGACATACATGCAGGCAAAACACTCATGCTGATAAAACAAACATATCTTTAAAAAAATCACATTGCACAAATTGTCCACTTGTCAAGCAGAGCGGGAAAGTGCAATCACTTCCCCCATCTATCCAGCTAGAGAGTTTACTTAGAACCCCCAGGACTTCAGGGAACAGAAGCTTGGCTAAACCAAGGGCAGTTGGCAGGTGCATACTGCCCAGGGACATTGTGAGTCTGTGGCTTTATGCCAAGGGTAAGATTTTGCACATGGGATTACAAGGGTTCAGTCCTGCTCTTAACATCTAAAACAGTGGTTCTCAACCTGTGGGTTGTGATCACTTGAGGGGCCCCATATCAGATATCCTGCATATCAGAAATGTACTATTCATAACAGTGGCAAAATTACAGTTATGAAGGAGCAATGAAATACTTTTATGGTTGGGAACTGTATTAAAGAGTTGCAGCAGTAGGAAGGTTGAGAACCACTGATCTAGAAGCATCCACCGCATGTTTCCTCTGTTCCAGAAGTTTATTAAGTGGCCAACGTATGTGCTGTGCCTTTGTTATCTTAGTTTCCCAAGGCCCCCACCCCCACCTCCATGACCCACCCTGTAGTGCCACCAACAATGGCCCTTTGGAAGAAGGAACTTTGTGGAAACATGACCTCTGTGCATGGAAAATGGGTGGCTTCCCTCAGAAGGAACTGTGGGCATGTGGGTCCCCGCACCCCTCCGTGTTTTATTTCCTCTTTTATTCTCCGTTAGCAGAAAGAGCTTTCCGAAGAAGTCGGCCAGGATGGTAGCTGGGCTCAGATTCCTGTTCAAATCCACAATGCCACCTGCACAGTGAGGATCGCAGCCATCACTAAAGGGGGCATTGGACCTTTCAGCGAGCCAGTGAAAATAATCATTCCTGAACACAGTGAGTCGGGGAACCCTGTTGGCTGTGGAGAGCAGCAGTCTGAGCAGTTCACAGACTGCCTAAGTGGGACCAATGTGATGGAGGGTGATTGACAAGTGTAAAACACAAGAACCAAAAGCACTGTTGCAGTTATAAGGAACTTTAGGATGCACTCCAGAGAACCCCTACAGTCCCGCCATTGCTGCGAGACTAATAACTTACGAGGAAGACCCATCCTTTCAGAGTACTGAGATGGACTTTACCCGTTGAATTTGGTTTAAGGCACATAGCACTGCATTTAGGATGCTGCATTTTGGACAGGCTATACTGCTAGTCCTTAGTTGCCTCTGACTGGCACGGTTTGTTTGCCACATTTGTTTCGGCTGTTTGAAGCTACTACTCCACTTGTTTTTGCCCATTCAACCCTTGGGTAATGTGCTCAGGGACTTAGTCCGCATAAAACACCAAGTGTTTCCTTCAGATGCCAACTTCATGCTTCCCTAACTAGCTGAGCTAAATGCCCAACCATGCATATTAGCTCTTGCCTATTGCTGGAATGTTCTTTGGAAAGGAGCCACCATGATGCCTCGCATGGGTCAAATGCTGTTCATGCTTCTGTAAGTCGGGGAGCCACCTTTGTCCTAACTCCAACCCATCCTAGGTTGTTTGGTATTAAAACATTGCTGTAAACTCCATGCCCAGCCATCTTTTCCAGCATGACTTACTCATTTACAGGTTCTTGCCAAACATGGCCTTTGCACCCAATAGCAGATGAGACTTGAGAGCAGATGACTCATTTGTGTCCATCTCTTTCCCAGTGATCCCTAAGCAGGCTCTCCTTTAAGTACTAAATAAAAGGTAGTTTACCTCCCTGCAGCCTGTAGACTCTGTTCCTGGGGAACATACTTACTAGTGCTAGGGAGACTAAAGGCATCTACCTGGAAGAACCTCAGACAATGAGGTGCTGATTCAAAAGGCACAGCTTTACAAAGAACACTGGCTGCTCTTGCAGAGGACCAGAGCTTAGTTCCCAGCACCCACATCAGGCAGCTCATAACCACTTGTAACTAGCTCCAAGGGATCTGATGCCCTTTTCTGGTCTCCACGAGTGTCCACATGCACGTGCATTCATGCATGCACACATTGGCACACACACCAATAATGGCTCATCCTTGTCAAAAATCAGAATTGACAACTGCAGGACTTCCACTTTCACGTGTAATAAACTGAAAAAGGTCTTAAAGGTTTGCTTCATAGGCAGAATCACCTGTAAAAGGACCCATTACTACAGTCTAAATAACACTAGTTCCCAGCAATACGTGTCAAATTTTAGTTACCCTCCTATGAGAACTGTCATTGCACAAAGCATAAAGTTGCCTCTAGTCACCATGAGTGACAGATGTGCAGCTTCTCCACAGTAGTCATGGCATGTGACTGGCCACCATGTCTGTCACTCAGACACATGCCCATGTGACTTCCTTGCCTCCCAATACCAAAATGTTAAAGAATTGCAAGCCAATGCATCCTATGTATTTTGAATCCCTGAATAGTATTTCCAATTAATGTTTTTGGATTTGTTCCAGGTAGGGTAGATTATGCACCTTCCTCAACTCCAGCACCTGGCAACACAGAGTCTATGCTCATCATCCTCGGTTGCTTTTGTGGATTTGTTTTAATTGGGTTGATTTTATATATTTCTCTGGCCATCAGAAGAAGAGTCCAGGAAACAAAGTTTGGGTAAGTTTCCCACTTAAAAATGTTAACCTTGAGCAGACACATCGGAGCACACCTTTAATCCCGGCAGAAGCAGAGGCAGGCAGATCCTTGTGAGTTTGAAATCAACCTGGTCTACATAAAGCTGGGATGGGTGAGACCCTGTCTATAAAAAGAAGAAACAAATTAACCCCGTGGTATTGGTGAGGTTGTTATGACAGATGATAGCACCTGTCTGGTGGGGCTTCTGCCTTGTTGGATCTTAGGCAGGGCCCAGAGCCAAGTGACTTCTCTACTTAGACCAACTCCTGCAAAGTCAGCAACCGCAAGAGCCAGCCCTGCAATAGGCTCTTTCACAGAGACGAGCCTCAGCAGGATACGCTATACAAACCAGACAGTGTCGGAGGAGAAGCTTTAAAAAGGACCCTAATTATTATTTATTCTGCATGTAATATACACGCGTGTCAACACATGTGTGCATCTGCACTGTCCCGTGCATGCCTGTGTGGAGGCTGGAGGTCAGCTTCAGATGTTTTCCTCTGTTGATCACCACTGTTTTAAATTTTTAAAAAGTTTTTTTTTAACTTCTGAGTGTGTGTGCACACAGTGTGTGTGCACATGTGTGAGGGGTGCCACGATACACATAAGGGGATCAGAAGACAACTTGCAAGAGTTAGTTAATTCTCTTCTTCCACATGTGCCTTCCAGACACGGAACTCTGGTTGTCAGACTTGGCAGCAAGCCCCTTTACCCACTGAGCCATCTCGCAGGCCCCTCCATTGTCTGCTTTGAGACAGGCTCTCTCATTAAACCTGGACCTTACCGTTTGGCTAGATTGACTGACTGGTTCGCTGGGGAAGTTCTGTCTTTCTCCAACACTAGGGCTACAAGAACACACCACCACACTCAGCTTTTATTTGGATCTGGGGGTCATATCCTCATGCTTGCATATCAAACTGAGCCAGATCCCCAGCCCCCATTTTTTAAGGTACATCCTAAACATCCAACAACTGAAAATATGAACTCCAAAATGGTTCATTCGGAAACAGAATGTCAACATGATGCCACATTCGGAAATTTTGTTTCATGCAATAATGATCTACAAGTATTATACACCTTCATGCTATATGTGAAGTAGGTGTGAAATGGGTATGAGCTTCATGTTTAGCTTTGGTTTCAAGATTCTAGAATCTGAAAAGACCTGAAACTCCTAACACTTCTGGTCCAGTCATTTCAGAGAAAGATGCTCCACCTGTATGTATAGGGATACAGGAACAGTTGCCAAGGTATCAGTATCCTTGGTTGGCTGAAGGTGCCTTGGCTCTTGTTATTTCTTTTCTTTTCATCCTTCTTCCTTCCCTCCACCCTTCTCTCTCCTCCCTTCCTTCCTGGGCTAAATTGTCACATTTTTTGTAGTTATCCATTTCAAATAGAGACCACTTTGTATCCTAACATTTCCATTTAAAACCCTCTTTTCCAGCCCCAGTTCTGTCACTCTAGACAAGCTTTTCAACGTTGCCCAGCCTCCTTGCTATTATCCGTCTCTAGTGGTCCCCAGGGTCGTTACCATTTCTAACTGCTGTAAGCCTGAGTTAAAAATGGTTCTGTCAGCACTTAAGAGATGCTGAGTCAGGGTGAAAAGACGACTCTACAGTTACGAGCGCTTGCAAGCACCTGTGTCGTGCGGCTCACAACCACCTGTAACCCCAGGTCCAGAGTGTCTTATGCCTCCTCAGGTACTCACATACATACGCCCATATACACATAATTTGTTTTTTAAAGACTCAAAGGATGGACCTTAAGAAAAAGGCTTGCTGGGGCTGGAACAATGGTATACACGCAAGCAAAGCAATCATACACATAAAAGTAAGTCAGTATCTTTAAAAATGTATCCATTATCTTTTGTTCTTAAGATATTCACACGTATAATCATATGTGTATGTAAATATGGTCTTGGGCTTGAATCTAGGGCCTTGGCCATGATAGGCAAGCATACTTGCCCTTGATACCCAGTCCTTTTGTTTGTCCTTCATGATACCTGGGCAGAGATGTGTTGCTGTCACCAGGTAGACCTAAAATAGATTTAAGAAAAGCAATCTATTTCTCCTGTGGGAAATGCTTTTTTATAGTTTTTCTCCTCATGTAGTACTGGGAATCAAACCCAGGCCCTCACCCCTGCTATGCAAGCGCACTGCCATCAAACTGCATCCCCAGCAGGGAAATGTCTGGGCTACACAAGAGCCCTTTACACATGCTGCCAACACCATAGACACCATAGCGTCCTTGTGGTTCCCTTACCCTGTTTTTATGGCTGCATGTCTTTGTTTTTGTGCAGGGGTGCATTCTCCGAGGAGGATTCCCAATTAGTCGTAAATTATATAGCAAAGAAGTCATTCTGTCGGCGGGCCATCGAGCTTACCTGTAAGTTGCCTTTCATTTTACTTTTTGGCAAAAATTAAAATAGTGAAGAGCCAACATTATTTTTAAATGAAAGCTAAGAGATAAGAATGAGAAAGAAGGAAAAATATGTATATGTATGTATTTTTCTGAGATATATATGCACATATATATGTGTATATATATATATATGCATGGGTTTTGTTTTGTTTTGTTTTGTGAGATAGAGTCCTGATGTGTAGTCCAGGCTGGTCTCGAACTCATGGTCCTCCTGCCTCTGGTGGATCCTGCGTACTGAGTTTACAGTCATTAGCCACCACACCTGGCAGGATGAATAGTTTTAGCATTTAGAAGCTAGCAAGGAGATGATCAGATGTTGCCATATGGATCCACTAGCCAGGCTACTGGAAACTGGCAGTGCACCTGGTGTTAAGAAACGAGTTAAGGTCCATAATCTCATGAAATAGGTTTAAAGGAAGCCACAGAGCTGTGGATATAATCTCCAGGCTCACTTCCTGTTGTCCTGGCCACTAACTCAAAGGACAGTCTGCCAAGTTATTGGAAGGCTTGAATGAGTGAGGGTTGGAGGGGGTTCTAGGTTTTTTAGGGGGAAGGGTAAACAGATACAAGTTCCTGATCAATTTCAAGAGCAACATGCAAAGATTGCAAATATCATCAAACCCATGCTTCTGAACGTATACTTGGCAAAACTAAAACAAAGCGAAGCAGAACAGGACATAGCCCGACTGCTCTGAATCAGTACTTACTTGGTGTGCAACAGTATTAACCACTTTTCTAACCAACATTTTTTACCTTTAGATGTCTCTGTTCTTGCATTTAAAAATGGCTCATTTAGATGGTTTTCCCCCATATTGGAGAACAAATTGGGTAATTTTTCTCTCTGAGTGAGCGCCTCCCTTCCAATATTAAGGCTCTTCTCTTTCAAAGTTTGCTCATGCCTCAGCTGTGGCCCAGGGCCAATCATCTGCCAGCTGGTCATTGAATGACTCTCCCTCTCTAAAGCTGCACACCTGCTATTTGCCTTATTGTGTTCTCCATACTCGCTGTAGACAGCTTTATTCTCCAGTCCCCTGAAGTATTCAGTTTAGCCTGATGTCTTGGAATGAGATGCCACACACCACATGTTCAAGGGCAGTTTATCATCTAGCTATTTCCCATGGTTTAATTGTCTTCTTCCCTGGCTGGTATGGGAGGCTAGGGGGTGTATCCTGATGGCTCTTTTCTATACCATAAATAGGGATACATTATCCACCAGCATGTGCCCATCAATACGTTTCCCTAACACATTAAAGTCAAAAGCAGACTTCTTCTGCACAAATCTCAGTGCAGTCAGCTGCTATTGTGAAAAGGAGAGCCGGGCAGTGGTGGCGCATGTCTTTAATCCCAGCACTCAGGAGGCAGAGGCAGGCGGATCTCTGTGAGTTCGAGACCGGGCTGGACCGACAGCCTCCAAAACAATACAGAGAACCCCTGTCTCGTAAAAACAAAAAAAGAAAGAAAAAAAGAAAAGAAAAGGGGAGGGAAGTGTGGCTCTCGCTTTTGTAGCTGTTTGTAGATGATCTTGCCTTGAAAGATTAATTTTATTCACCCTAATCACAGTAGAATGAAGTGCAGACTTTTTGCATGAGTATGAAGTAGGGAAAATGTGTAACTTTGACATAGGACCTTCCTTATACTTCTGCTCGTATTTAGCGAAGAGAGCACACTGCGAAATCTTACTCACGATTACTCCTTTGTAGTGCACAGCTTGGGAGTGAGCGAGGAGCTGCAAAATAAACTAGAAGATGTTGTGATCGACAGAAATCTTCTAATTCTTGGAAAAATTCTGGGGGAAGGTAAGCAGCTTCAAGGCATTTCTTTGTAAAATCTGAGGCAAGGAGCAATTGAGGATTTTTAAAAATGTGCCTTCATTGAATAAAATACCGAGTTTATGACTTGGAGTTATAATGCAAATAATTCTTCTTGGAAAGAGGAGAATTTTGAAACTCAGATCTGACATACATAAGAGGCACCTACTGTGCCTGGAGCAGAGTAAGCTCTGGAAGTACAGTTTCCCTTCCTTCACTGCAAAGCATGTGACTCATTCATTATTATTTACTATTATTATCTATTTATTGATCCCAGTTCTACGCACTTTAAGAAGATATTGATCTACTTCTTCAGTTGATGAAATATATGTACTTAAATTTTAAAATTGGTTTTAGCATGAATGATAGTTATTAAATTTGTGTTTTGGGCTGGGAATTTAGTTCAGTGATGGAGTGCTTGCCTAGCACTTGAGGTAAAAAGGACAGTTTCGTGATCTTTAGTAATATTTCCATGTTTCCCTGTAAGTATCTTGGGCCATTTTTAATGGTTGGTGAGCTAAGGGAAGTCTAGCCACTCAGACTCACGACACCAGTGCTCACCCCTGCTATGCAGGTGTGTTGCTGGTATTTTTCTTGTTCTGCCAGGTCCCAAATAAACACACAAACGCTATATATTAATTTATAAGCTGTTGGCTGATGGCCAGGGCTTCTTACTGGCTAGATCTCTCTGGATTATTAACCCATTTCTATTAATCTATGTATTTCCACTTGGTCTTGGCTAACCGGAGAATGCCCGGACCTGTTATTCCTTTGTAGTCCACGCAGCATCCTCTTTCCAGCGCCTCTCTGCCTACCTTTCCCAGAATTCTCCTTGTCTCCTAGCCCCGCCTGTCTTCCTGCCTCTGTTGGCCAAACAGTGCTTTATTCATCAACCAATAAGAGAAGCATATATAGAGAAGGACATCCCCCATCGCAGGTGTCTGAGCATAGCAGATGAGTTGTTCGGGGACCACACAACTCTGCACTTCTGTGGTCAGGGGGCGACTGCACAGCACCACATGGATGTTGCTTCACTTCACAGGAGAGTTTGGGTCTGTAATGGAAGGGAATCTGAAGCAGGAAGATGGGACTTCTCAGAAGGTGGCAGTGAAGACCATGAAGTGTGAGTTTCCGGCATGGGGCCCATTCTTCCAGGGTGGGCAGTTAGTCACCTCAGTACCAGGTGCTCCAGGCAGAACAGTGCTTGTGCTCTGGTCTCAGTTGCTGGTGGGCCACTAGGCAATGTGGGGGCCTGGTCACCAGCAGAGGGTATGTGATGATCTCTCTGTATACGTGCACTGTGTAGTCTTCATACTCGAAACATTCAACACGTCCACCATCTCTATCATTCTCCTCCCTCACCCTCCATCATCTAGGACGGCTAATGATCTCCAAGTAAGGCGTGATTCCTGAGGCAGGGGGATGTTAGTATCTGACCCCAGGAATTGGTCTGACCAACCTCTAGGGTAGTGAGGCTGCTTCCTCAGAATTACATCATGCTGGTTATCTAAGATTGAAAGAATAGCCTATTGCCTCAGAATCTCCATGTAATTCAGTAGTAGAACACTCACTCACCTGGCAAGCACTGGGCCCTGGGTTCAATCCTGAGCACTGTGGAAGATAAAATAAAACTAGGGCATGCCAAAGAGAGCTTGTTAGACTCTTAATCAAGAGGTCTTGGCATTGTGACCAGAGGTTGACGTTGTCTATGGTATGACACAGTCACTCACAAGTGCTGTTTTCCTGAGGGGACCTAAAGTTGACAATGTGGAAAAATAACTATGTTTCAAACTTACTAAGAAAAAGAAAGGCTCCTGAGTCCCCTTTTGCCTGGGTTTGATCCTTGGGTAAGGGTTACAGGAGACCTCCATCCCCACCATTTGTTGCCCCTCCCCCACCCGTGCTCTGTAGCAAAGGGAAGCAGTGAGGATGAAGGTGACAGACATGTTACAAATGTAAAGGTTTTAAAATATTTTTCTAAGTTTTCTGTACCTCAATGAGATAAGTATATAATAAACCCTTAGAATAGTACAGACCTAGGTAGGTACCCTCAGGTCATTTTAGTCACTAGTTATACCCTGTTAAAGAAATCTCCCAAGACAGGCCTGGCTTTATGTTTTCTCAATTATAGTAAGATACCCATAAAATAAAATCTCAGCCATTTTTAAATGTATAGGCCAATAGCGTTTAGTACCTTCGGGTTGCCACGGACCCATCACCACCATCAGGTTCTTAAACTTACCATCTTTTCAGTCCATACTCCCACATGCCCCCTCCCCCAACCCAGGAAGTAGCCATTCTACTTCCTGTCTGGTTTTGTTACTGTAAGCACTACCCACAAATACAATCAAATGGGATTTATTCTCTCGGGCCTGGATTGTTTCATATAGCATAATACTAAATTTTTTTAGGGTTTTTTGTTTGTTTGTTTGGTTTGGTTTTTTGAGACAGTGGTTCTCTGTGTAGCTTTGGAGCCTGTCCTGGAACTTGCTCTTGTAGACCAGGCTGGTCTTGAACTCACAGAGATCTGCCTGCCTCTGCCTGCAGAGTGCTGGGATTAAAGGTGTGCACCTCTGCCTGACTTGAATTTTATTTTTTCAAATTGTATTACATTGACTGTGTGTGTGTGTGTGTGTGTGTGTGTGCGAGTGCATGGCATGTGTGTGGAGATCAGAGAATAACTTGTGGGAGTGTGTTTTCTTTGTCCGCCATGTGGATTCCCAGGGATCAAATTCAAGTCATCAAAGTTTTGGGGCAAGTCCCTTTATACACTGAGCTGTTTTGATGGGCCAATATTGAATTGTAAATAGTTCTCTTAAACTGGTTACATTTCAAAATTTTGGTATGAAGTACACACAGCTCGCAGGCATGATTTAACAAGTAGTCATTATGGACCCAGGCATGCATCCGTAGCAAGGGAGAGGCAAAGGTAATTGTGACAGACCAGTTGGAAATCCCTTTGGATTTGGGAAGGTTCTTTTTCCCATTAAAATTAAAAGTCTGTTAAATTAACATTTTAAAACCAGTTTTAGGTTTATGTCCCCCATACAGCATCATGCAGAGAATACTTGCATGGCCTAAAAATCCCTCAAGTTTCCCCTTTGGCTTCTCTCTTCTCCCAACCCCAAAACACCACAGATACTCTTGCCTGTGTCCATAATTTTGCCTTTTCCTGACTTTAGGAGTTTTTATTAAATTGTTTGAAAAGGGGAATTGTTTGTTTTGTTTTGCTTGCTTTGAAAGACTGGGTCTTGCTATCTTCCCAGGCTGGCCTCTGAGTTCTCTTACCTCCGCTTCCCTGAGGGTTAAGAATGCTCCGTGAAGCCTGGTGTGGATTTAAGTTTTACTGAACTAAAGAGCTATTTCTGGCCCCCTCCTCTAAACTGAGGACACTGATCATGCCTTGCATTCCCATCTGCTTCTCTAGTGGACAACTTTTCCCAACGGGAGATCGAGGAGTTTCTAAGCGAAGCAGCATGCATGAAAGACTTCAACCACCCAAACGTCATCCGGCTTCTAGGTACCTCAGGGAGAGACACCAGAGTGACGCTGGGAGGGGCTTGGCTGGCCCACTGTGTGCCGAAGAAGAAAAACCAAAGTTCTGTAGAGAAGTTTATCCAAAAAAAATCACAACACTGGGTTTGTCCTGTCTTCTGAGACAGAGAGTAAAAATGGGTTTGTGTTTCCTGGATGCTGATGGAATTTGAGATAGTGAGAGTGTTCACAGAAATTAGAAGATTGTCAGTTAAAATAGCCCCCAGTGACTCAAAAGCAAGACACAAGGGCTAATAACGTGACAGTCTTTGTGGAGTGGAGGCTGTCAGAGAAGTACAGCTAGACATTTTTCTAAATAGTCTTTGAGAAATAATTTATGAACCGACTTGTGAGTCATGGCACATTGACTATTTCATAGACACAATTTAATATAATGTAATTTGGCTTTGTATAAATATCTATGTTTAAAACATACTGACATGGGTATCAGTGCATGATAGGCAAGGGACATTATTCTGAGAGAAACAATCTAGAAATACTGGCCTGTTTTTTCCCTGCCCTTTGCCTTGGTCCATAACAAATCTTTTAGCAATCATTCAAAGTTCTATATGGCTGACCCTGTAGAGATGTGAAAGCTAAGGTTTGGATAAAATAGCTATTGTTTGCAGTTACTGGCATTAGGAGAGACATTCGACTTTGCTTGAAACGTTATACTTTGTAAGCCTAGGATCAGGTGACCAGCTCATTGCAGAATTCCATGCTAAAGCACTGTATCTTCAATCACCGAAAGTTCAGAAAGAGGGATTACCTATAGGCCCTCAAAACTACTTTAATAACGTAAATCATCCGGAGTGCAGCAGACCTTTTCATAGGAGCACTTAGCTAATTTGCCCTTAGATTCTCTGAGGTCTGTACCCCTCGGTTACTCCATCTAGCAAAAACAAAACATGAAATCCCTTTGGTTTCTAGTTGTCTGTTCTTGTGACAGATTGAGCTTTGAGAGTTCTCTTGAAAACACTAGCCTAACATAAAAGAGAGAGAGAGAGAGAGAGAGAGGAAGAAAGAAAGGAAGAAAGAAAGCCATGCAGCTTGCAGGTGTTACAAATGCCAGAGCCCACTGTGAGAGTTCCGAGCCTCTGCTTTTTCACCTCTTGACCTGATAGCACATGGCTCCAATTTGGCCAGTGGGTTTATGTGTTCATGCCTAACAAGGGATCTTTGTAAGTGGCCCTGTTTTCAATTTCAGGCGTGTGTATAGAAATGAGCTCTCAAGGTATCCCGAAGCCCATGGTGATTTTACCCTTCATGAAATACGGAGACCTACATACGTTCCTGCTGTTTTCCCGGATAGAAACAAGACCAAAGGTAACAGACCCTGTGCAGCCTCTAAGCTGTTCCTGAAGGTTTTATGTCAACTGGGACAACAACTAAGGTCTCCATCCCCCAACAATCCTGAGTGAGTCTTTATCCCTGGCTGGTCCATCGCCACTCCCCATCACGACTCTGTCTCAGATGGCAGCATTACTGCAGGGCACCCACAATGGGAAAAAATGGGGCTGACCTCTATCAGGAATCACCCAAGACAGAATTTGCTTTGAACCAAAAGTGCCCTAAGTTATTGCTGCCAAAAAGTGCAGGCTGTAGGAAGGAACAGTACCAGTCAGTCAATGCCTGGGCATCCTCTAACCCAAACACCTCTGTCCCCTTAGCTGCCACCAAGAGCAGGACCCTGGTGAGTGCAATTACAGACATGCGAGTTAATTTTTCTTTCATGTTTCACGCGTTGGCTGTTGTGTCTGAGAACTCTTTACTAACCCCTGATTTAAATTTTTTCCTGCTGCTTTCAATGTAGTCCATCCATTTTGAGTCATTCACTTTATAGAAAGTCTGAAATTTAGTTCAAGGCATCTCTTTTTTATATTATTATTATTATTGTTGTTGTTGTTATTACTGTTAATAATAACAGTAATTATTTTGCCTAGGAAATCTTAAAGCCTGAGCTGGCCTTAAACTCACTATAGAGCTAAGGATGTCCTTTAACTTCTGATCCTCCTGTCATTGTCTCTACCTCTGGAGTTCTGGATTGCAGACGTGTACCATGACCCATTCCTGGGGTGCTAGGGATGGAGCCTAGGGCTACTTGTATGCTTTATAAACGCTCTACTAACTAAGGTTCCTTTTTGGTTGGTTGGTTTAGTATATAATGGGTCATCATTTATGAAAAGGCCACATTTAATCTACTAAATTGCTTTCACAACTATATAAACTCTTGACAGGCCATACGCTATGGTTCTATCTCTGAGCCCGCCATCTGTTCTATCAAACTATCTGTTCAAAGCTGGGCAGTGGTGGCTCATGCCTTTAATCCCAGCAGTTGGGAGGCAGAGGCAGGCTCGATGCCAACCTGGTGTACAGATTGAGTTCCAGGACAGCCAGGGCTGTTACACAGATAAACACTGTCTCAAAAAACAAACAAATGCTATCTGCTCATCCTCTATCCCCACCACATTGTCTCGAATACTGCGCTTTTCTGTGAGTTTTAACACTGTAGAGTGTACTTCTTCCCATTCTATCCTGCTTTTATCTTACACCCCCGTAACCCTCCACCCCTACTCCCACCCCACCCCACCCCCCAGCAGCAGTTTTACTTCAACTGGCAAAAGCTCTGCTGTAATGATTTATTCTTTTAAACAAAATAAATAACATGTAAGGAAAACAAGCACACAGTGTATTCTTGATCAAGCATTTCCTTTTGCAAAAGTACAAGGGTGTCCTCAGTGGTAGAGAGTAACTCCCGAGTGTTACAAAGATGAAAAGGAATGCATTTTTGCATTTTGGTATTTTGTGGCGTGGATAACGATGGAAGACAGAGTTCACAGAGTAGTGGAGCACCCAGCTTTCATTCAGGCTGCTTCTTGCTTCCTGTGCAGTCAGTTCCCTAGGCATAAAGACCTCTTGTTCCCACTGCCGTCATCCAAGATTAAGTCTCCCGGTTTGTCTATGAGCTTCGGATCAGGGCCTGGATTCTGAGCTCCAAGTGTTCCTGTCCTCAGCACAGTGTCACTGGAGATGTGCAGGACAGACAGGCAGATGATGAACACCACCTCAGCATCTCACAGAGGATGGTGACTGGGATGACACATCCAGCAGAAATGTGTCCTCTAGAGCCTTGGGGAAGGAAGGAGTTCTGACTGGAGAAGCTTCAGTAGTCCGCATTGCCATGGTGGGAATGAAACAAGGAAAGGGAAACGTGGGATTAGGATGGGGCAAGAGAACAGAGAGCACACATGTTGGAACCTCAGGTTTTCTCCAGAGGCAACTATAGGGACTGCCAGTTGTCTCCAGGGGCAAGGGCAAGGCAGGGGAGGGGAGACAGAGAGGCTACAGCAGGGGAGGATGGACAGAGAGACACTACAGCAGGGGATGGACAGAGAGACACTACAGCAGGAGATGGACAGAGAGACACTACAGCAGGGGATGGACAGACAGACACTACAGCAGGAGATGGACAGAGAGACACTACATCAGGAGATGGACAGAGAGACACTACAGCAGGGGATGAAGGACAGAGAGACACTACAGCAGGGGATGGACAGACAGACACTACAGCAGGGGATGGACAGACAGACACTACAGCAGGGGAGGATGGACAGACAGACACTACAGCAGGGGAGGATGGACAGAGAGACACTACAGCAGGGGATGAAGGACAGAGAGACACTACAGCAGGGGATGGACAGACAGACACTACAGCAGGGGAGGATGGACAGACAGACACTACAGCAGGGGATGGATGGACAGACAGACGCTACAGCAGGGGATGAAGGACAGAGAGACACTACAGCAGGGGATGGACAGACAGACACTACAGCAGGGGATGAAGGACAGAGAGACACTACAGCAGGGGATGGACAGACAGACACTACAGCAGGGGATGGACAGAGAGACACTACAGCAGGGGATGGATGGACAGACAGACACTACAGCAGGGGATGAAGGACAGAGAGACACTACAGCAGGGAATGGACAGACAGACACTACAGCAGGGGATGGACAGAGAGACACTACAGCAGGAGATGGACAGAGAGACACTACAGCAGGGGATGAAGGACAGAGAGACACTACAGCAGGGGATGGACAGACAGACACTACAGCAGGGGATGGACAGACAGACACTACAGCAGGGGAGGATGGACAGACAGACACTACAGCAGGAGATGGACAGACAGACACTATAGCAGGGGATGGACAGACAGACACTACAGCAGGGGATGAAGGACAGAGAGACACTACAGCAGGGGAGGATGGACAGACAGACACTATAGCAGGGGAGGATGGACAGAGAGACACTACAGCAGGGGATGGATGGACAGACAGACACTACAGCAGGGGATGGACAGAGAGACACCACAGCAGGGGAGGATGGACAGACAGACACTACAGCAGGGGAGGTGCCCTGGGGTTGCCTTTTGGGTTCTGTAGGAAGGAAGCTGGCTTTACCAGCATGTAATACCAAAACCAACTCAAAATTACCTTTGAAAAGAAGATAGAGGGTTTGGCCTGGTGTTACAGGCCTGTGATCCCAGCTTCTGAGGAGGCTGAATCAGGAGGATCACAGGTAGAAGGGCAGCCTGGGATACAGAGCCAGGGGTACCATTGCTCCAGAGGCACCCAGTTCTGACTCTGAAGCATCGGGTGTCTGGCATCACCTCACCCTTGGACTTTACACCTGTAGTAGTACTGCACTTGGCTATGAGATGGCAACAGCTACTCTAAGTGTCACATGCTAGCATTCAGAGACAAAGGGGAGAAGGCCACTCTTTATCTCTCCTCACTCTGGGTCCCTCTTTCTCCCACACCACCTCTGTGTTCATCTGTCTCCATCATCCCTTCCTAATGCCTTTTACTCGAACAGCACTCTTTGCAAAAGCTTTATTGAGATACTGCACAATTCTCCCATTTAAGGTGTTTAGGAGTGGTTTAGGGAGATACAGATGCTTACCACTGAGTCTAAGACCTGAGTTTGATCCCAGGAATCACATGGTGAAAGGTTCTGTGTGACCCAAACTAAATAAATGTAATAAAAATCTTAGTGTTCAAAAAGAAGGAAAGAGAAAGAAAGCAAGCCACTGTTGGAGCTGGTTATGAGGATGGTTATTACAGAAGACCTCTAAATAATGCAAAATATTTTAATGCCATCATGACCCTAAAACAGAGGGTCCTGGCAATCATGAATGATGAATCATGAATGGGTCCATCCATGACGTATTCCCCTCCAAGATTCTTGGGGTTCTAAAATGTTGTCCTTGAGGGCTAGAGCCACAGCAAGTAGAGTGCTTGCCAGGACCACTTGGACTCCTGGCTTCTGCTTCCAGCCCTGCAAAAACTAGGTGTTGGGGCATAGTCCTGCTGTCCCATCATCATGTGAAGGTGTGACAATCTCCAGTACCCATCCCCACCTTCCACTTTGGTTAAGACGAGGTCTGCTGCTCTCTGCTGAGTGAACCAGGCTAGCTGTCCTGAGAGCTTCCGGGGATTCCCATTAGGAGTGCTGGGATTGCAGCTCCTGCTACCTTGCTCAGCCTTATGTGGGTCCTGTGCACCCAAACTCAAGCGTTCACCCTTGTATCACAAGTGTGATTCCCACTGAGCTATCTCCCGGCCCTGAACTGTCTGTTCGCTCTCATTAATGGTTGTATCCACACCTATCTTCTTACTTTCCAACCTTAATTTGAGTGCTTTTTAGCCTTGTTCTTCTTCAAACCTGTTGTAGATAGTCTGATGTCTGTGAATTTCCATATGGGACTCCAGAATTAACTTGTAACATTTTACAAAGAAGCCAGAGCAGGGCTTATAGGGAATATAGAAGCTGGGTAGTAATGACATCATAATATTGTTAAGTTTTCTAAGCCACGAATGGAGGATAACTTCTTCATATTTTTGGATTTTTAAATTTTCTCCAACACTGTAAGAGAACACACAACAATAAGTTGTGGTCTTTGTTGAATTCATTCATGAGTATTTGATTCTACTGTGCCTGAAATTGTTTCCTTTGCTTCACTTTGTTGTCACATGTGCATAAAGATCTCTGTGCTGACATCTTCTCACTCGTTTTTAAGTTGTTCTCTCCAATTTTTAAAAAGTAACTTAGTCACAGACTCCAAGATAACTTAACTATTACAGGAAAAAATCATAAATTAGTTGTATCTTCTAGTCACTACAGCTCACTAATGACAATAGAATTTGCCATTTCACAGTACCCAAACCCTGTCCTAAAAATTTGCATCCAGAATATCAAATGCCCTAAATACACAAAGAGGCAAAATTTCCACGTTTGAGTCATTTATCTTTTTCTATATCTCTATTACTTAAGGGTAAGGATAATTATGACATTTTGGTTTCATGTGCACTACATAATTGGCATATGTCATGATTGGGAAATATGTCACTAAAAATGGAATTAATGGTAAAGAACTTGTTTAACACAAGGCCCTGAGTTCCATCCCCAGTACCACAGGAAAACAAAACAAAACGCAAAGATGTTGTGAATACCATTTTGGAAAACTCACAGTCCTTGGATGAGACGTCACAGATTCAATGCTATGTGGTGGAGTGGTGGTGAAGGAGCAGGGACCATGGACAAACCTCTCATGATTCACGGTTGCTAGGAACTTGTAGTCAGCCTTTCTTTAGTGCCATGACTGCCATAAAGCATTGAATTGTTACTTCGTTAGTCATCATCCTTCTAACCAATTCTAAATGCCTGGAAGGCTTGCTCTCTCTCTCTCTCTCTCTCTCTCTCTCTCTCTCTCTCTCTCTCTCTCTCTCTCTCTCTCTCTCTCTCTCTCTCTCTCTCTTTCTGTGTGTGTGTGTGTGTGTGTGCGTGCATGCGTGTGCATGTGTGTGTGCGTGAGTGCGTGCGTGCGTGCGTGCGTGCGTGCGTGCGTGCGTGCGTGTGTGTGTGTGTGTGTGTGTGTGTGTGTGTGTGTGTATGGTGGGGCTGGTAGTTCTGGGTAGTAAACCCAGGGTTGCAGGACTGTGCATATGCTACAGTGACATGCTTACTTACACAGCAGTTTTGTCTGATTTTTTACAACACAGAGAAAATGTTAGATGCCTGAAACTCTAGAAAAGCCCTAGAGGGAAAAATTGCAATTTCTGAATGCATCCTTGTATTTTAGTGCAAAGATAAGAGGTGAAGACTTGCCCAATTGTTGCTGTCTAGAAGAAGGAAATTGTCTTTCAAAATATCTCAAAGTAAAATGAGCTGTCTTAGTGTGTGTATGGCCCAGAGATCAACACACAACAAATAGGAAGAAGAGGAGGAAAAGGGGAGGGGGGATAAAAAATGATAGCAAGAATACAGAATTAGAAACAGCTCCTATTACGTTGATATTTTTTTTCTCTCCCAAACTTCTGACCCTTTCCCACAATATCTCCTCTTCCCCCATTGAAACATGACACTTGAGCCAGTAAGACGGCCCAGCCGGTGAAGTTGCTTTCTGCCAAAGACAACCTGAGTTCATTCCCAGGAACCCACCCACCTGGTAGTTGGAGAGAACTGTCACAGGTTGTCCTCTGGTCTCCAAATGTATGTGGTGGCACAAGTGACCCCTCCCTCCCTCAAACATGCAATGTAAATTGGTAGGCATAAAAGGAAAGGAAAAACACACAGGGAGACCCTGTTCCCTTGTCCTCTCTGCCTGGCCCAGTGCCTCTTAGGATGTGAAAGTTCACCTTAGACCTCATAATTGGTGAAAAGATACAAATGTTTTTCATCTGAAATACTTTTAATAGTAAAGGATGTAGTGTTTTTCAAGAGGTCTTAGAACTTCTTTAATCCTGTTTTGAAGAGTTATTTGCGTTATTTCTGAGCCAGGTGTGGTGGCTTATGTCTGTCATTCCAGCACTGGGGAGATTGAGGCAGGAGGATCTTGAGTTGTAGTCTTGCCTGAGCTACATAGGGAGACCTTTTCTCCAAACAAAATATATCCATTAAAAAATTAGCAATGCTGAAAGGAAAGGTTGTTTCCCCGTGTCACCATTCTAACTTAGGGAATAAGAACAGCATTTCCAGGGCTGCGGAGACGGCTCAGCAGTTAAGAGCACTGGCTGCTCTTGCAGATGACCCTGGTCAGATTCCCAGCACCCACAGGGCAGCTCACGACCATCTGTAATTCCAGTTCCAAGGGATCTGACACCCTCTTCTGGCCTCCTTGGGTACTAAGCTGTGGCGATCTCTTATTTATGATTTCTTGAAGCTTGCCTGAGGATTCAGAAAGAAAAGTCAGCCACAAGCCATAGAAGCCAGGCACACACCTTTAATCTCAGCAGCCAGAAGCTAGGAGGCGGTGGTACACATCTTTAATCCTAGGACTCAGGATTAAGAGGTAGACAGATCTCTCTGAGTTCAAGGCCACACAGGAATACATGAGATTGAATCAGTCTAAAAGAGTAACAGATCACATGCCTTTAATCCCAGCACTAGAAGGCTATAAAGAATAGAAGCCAGGGTCTTCAGTATATAGCAGGAGGCATTGATTCTCCAGTCACCCTGAAGAGAGGTTACAGTCTGAGGCTTGGTGAGAGTTCACAGAGACAGGATCAGCCCATTCAGCCTGGGGTAGAGGTAAGAAGCTAGTGGCCAGCTGCTTTGCTTTTCTGAACTTCAGCTTGAAGTTTGAACCCCAATATCTGTCTCTGGGTAATTTATTAATTCGTGTTACCCTAAGCACACACACAGCGAATATATGCGCATTCAGGCAAAATACTATTCACATAAAATAAAGATGAATACATCACTGTGTCCCCTTGGGCGAGAGTAAGTTGGCAGCTTTTATTTCTAAACCATAATGTCTCTTTTCATTTCCTCCCGTTAGCACATCCCCCTGCAGACACTGTTGAAGTTCATGGTGGACATTGCCCAGGGAATGGAGTATCTGAGCAACAGGAATTTTCTTCATCGGGATTTAGCAGCTCGAAACTGCATGTAAGAACCTAGGCCATCCTGGGGAGGCAGGGTCACTGGACTTTGTGGCTGAGAATCTCATAGGTTATGGAAGGCAGATGGCTTGCAGGTGGGGTGGATTTGCCTTGCTTTGGATGGGATTTTCATCCCATCGCTTCCTTGGAGGTTGTCCATCTTTGCCTCTAAGAGTCTGGCTAGCATCCAAAGCTCTCTCTTATGGTTAGTCTGTTTTCTTCTTGTCTCTCAGCAAGGGGCACTAGCCATGATCATTGGAGTCTTTTCCAAAGGCCGTCAGCTAGCTTTGTACCAACAATAATATGTAAGTCAGTTAACCATAGTATAACTTGAATGACAATAATGAAAATCCAAGTGACTGTTTCCCCAAGCCTTTGTTGACACACAAAGTTCTCCCCTCACAGAGGGTAAGAGATAGTGTATTCTAGAGTCCAATATGAGTGACCATTGCCTGAGAATACAGATTCAACTGTCTCAAATATCATATTCCAAAGCTGTCACTGTCTTCAGGTATTTATAGTATCATAACAAAGAAAAGCGTAAATCAACACGCCTTCAAATTGGTGGAATGATGGGGTAGGTGGGTTACAGCCATGCAGATAAACTTCTATAGGCCTTAGATGGTTATCTGAGGACATTTTTGGCCTTGGTTGGTGGAAAGCTTCTGCTAAGTTAATACACCCAGAGGTTTCATCTGAGATTCACAGGACATTAAGGACATTTGGTCAGACGCAGGTGGCCAGAGATTGGCAATTTAGTCAACTAAATATAGCTCAAGATATATCGTAGTTAGACTCTGCCCTTCGACATTCCCACCCCTCCACAATCTTTGAACTTCCAACCAGATAATCAGCCTCCTAGAAAATTCATTGTGAGGTGTAGTTTTTTTTCAGGAACCTGCAGTCATATCTACCCCACACCTATGATAAAAGTTGGTACCTTAACGATCTAGAAGCTTTTCTGTCACAGCAGATGACAAATTATAGGAGCTTGCATAAGAACTTTGGACTTGAATTTTCTCCATTTCATTACCCTGCTTCAACAGAACAATTACCTGATGTCAATCTTCAAACACCATAGCCGCTCCTTGATTTTAACTTCCCTGTCATGAGAAGAGGAATTGGCCCATGTCTGTTTTTCTTGGTCAGAGATTTGACAGTAGAGATGGTCACTCACTCTTCTCAGAGAAATCACACCCCCTTCTCCTTTTACTTCAGTTTTTTAAAGCCCCAGGGGATTTCGGGGTTTTGTTACTGCTTTTTAACTGTGGATAGAGAATCATGAAATGTTATTTTTTCTTTTAATATTCCCTTCACATTTTTCCTGCCAGATAGGAGGACTGCCTGTGTAGTTTGCCCTGAACTGGAAGTGTGGGACTTTTGGGTGTACATACCTGTACTCCCCGCACTCTGGAGATGGAGGCAGGAGGACCCACAGTTCACAGTCATCCGCAGTTGCACAGCAAGTTCCAGGCCACCCTGGGCTACATGAAACCCTGTCTTTTTAAAAGAAAAGTTAATGTCAGGCAAGCAAGTAGCTCAGTCACCTCCCACATCTCCCCTCCCTGTCCCTGTCTCCTCTCTGTCTTCTCTCTTCCTTTTTTTCCTCCTTGTCTAGGACCTGTTTTACTAACTTGGGCTGTGACTGCAATTAATTTCCCTTCAGTTTTCCAGTTCATTCCTCCAACAGCTGGCTACATTAGCAGGAAATCCTTCAGCATCATCTCTCTCACGTCTCCCAGACTTCACCTCTTCTCGTGCCTGCCCTCCACAAGGCATGATGCTATCCACAAAAGGACCAGGAGGAGCTGCTGTTCCTTCCACTTCTGCGCGCCACATCTCTGTCCCCCAGTGCCTCCAGCCACTGTGCCTGGGTGCCTGTGCTGGACCAGCTCCACACAGGCCAGAGTGATGGAATACAGTAATGTCTGGTCCCTGTTATTTGCCATGTCTTTCTTCTTAAAGCAGCTCCTTACTCCAAGTGAATGAGCTCCATGTCTTCTCCTTATTTCCTCCCTCCCTCCCTCCCTCCCTTTCTTCCTTCCTTCCTTTTCCTTCTTCCTTCTTCTCCCTCCTTCCTCCTTTTCCTTCCTCCTTTCCCTTCCTCCCTCCTTGCTCCTTCTCTTCCTCTCCTCCTCCAGTAAGGGTGTCATGAATCCCAGGCTGGCCTTGAACTTGCCAAGCAACTGAGGACAACCTGGAACTTTTGCCCTTCCTGCCTCCAGCTCCCAGATGCTGGGCTTAGAAGCATGCACCACTGTTCCCATTTATGCTGTGCTAGGACTCAAACCACGCATTCTGCCAACTGTGCCACATCTAAAGCTCCCATGTCTTTAGTTACTTTTCATGCATCTGATGCAGACCTGGGGTTCAATGCTCTGCTGCCAAGGCTGCTGAGGACCTGAATTCATTCTTCACAGGTTGCGGGATGACATGACTGTCTGTGTGGCAGACTTTGGCCTCTCTAAGAAGATTTACAGTGGTGATTATTACCGCCAAGGCCGCATTGCCAAAATGCCTGTAAAGTGGATTGCCATAGAGAGCCTGGCAGACCGAGTCTACACAAGCAAAAGTGACGTGGTGTGTACACAACTTTGATTTGACTAAGATGGGGCACACGGAAAGAAATGACTAAAACTGATGATTCAGGGACTTACACTCTGATAAAATGAGGGTTGGGGACATGCAAGGACCATGTTTTATTTAACTCATTTATTCACTTATTTGCTTTTTGTGGTCCTGAGGTTGACCCTAGGACCCCATATGTGCTATGAGAACACTAAGATAATTTCTCAGCCTCCCTTTTCTTTACTTTTAAGATCTAATTTTATTTTAATTATGTGTTTAAGTATGTGCATCTGTATGTGGATAGGTGCACATATATGTAGGTGTTCTCAAAGGCCAGAGGCATCAGATCCCTGGGAGCCTAAGCCAGTCACAGGTGATTATGGGTCAAAATGAATGCTGGGAACTAAACATGGGTCCTCTGCAGGAGCAAAGATTGCTCTTAACTGCTGAGCCAGCTCTCCCGCCCCCTTTACTTTTTTATTAATTTTTATGTATATGGGTGTCTGACCTACATGTATATCTGTGCACCATGTATGTGCCTTAGTGCCCATGGAGGCCAGAAAACTGTCAGATCCCCTGGAACTGGAATTACAGATGATTGTGAGCTACCAAGTGAGTGCTAGAAATTGAACCAGGTCCTCTGAAGGAGCAGACAGTAATCATAGTGACTGAGCCATTTCTCCAGTTCCTATACTTACTTTTGAAGTAGGGTCTATCTACATAGCCAAGAAAATCCTTGAGCTCCCAGTCCCTCCTCTTCAGCCTCATCGGTAGCTGGGATAACAAATGTGCACTGTTATACCTGGCTTTTCTACCCTGTAGAAACTTTCATTCAAGCAAACAGTCAATTATGGTGAAGTGCTCACTCATAAACCTATACTTTGCATATGCCCTTCAGAGATTGCCATTTCTTTGCTACAAATGAGTGGCTTATGGCCTTTAAGATATGCACATTAAATTGAACGAGTTCCTTTGGTAGCCTTTGGAACCTGTATGCTATATATAAGATGCTGCTTAATTAGACCCTTGATCCAAGTTTGCGGAGAGAAAATGCTCCATAGCAAGAGTATAACAGTGAAGCAAGCAGTGTTGATTTGGGATGAGGTCCCATCTGCCTTTAGCCAAGTTTCTCAGAACAGCTTTGGTACGAGTGGGGAACTATGGGGCTTCAGCCTCATGTGTTGCTATGTCGGGAGAACAGTGAGTCTCAGACATAATTACCAGCCTTGTGCTTTATCGTCAGGGCTCTAAGGAAATGACCTTTCCCCATGAAAAAGTCCATTCAGCCTTTGTGGAAAGACTTTTGTCCTCACTTCTTGTGGCTTTGTTCTCAGTGGGCTTTTGGCGTGACCATGTGGGAAATAGCAACACGGGGAATGACCCCTTATCCTGGAGTCCAGAACCATGAGATGTACGACTACCTTCTCCATGGCCACAGGCTGAAGCAGCCGGATGACTGCCTGGATGAACTGTAAGTGAGCATCCCTGAGTCATTGGGCTTTCTGCAGGGGGCGGCTACCTGACTGTGCAACGACGTGGGAAACATAGGCATGGCTAGTGCAAGTAGGGTCTGCCTGTGCAGAGAGCACCATTCATGGAAGCCTCAGGCCAGCAGTCATCCCTGATGCAGGTGGTGGTGGATGCCCAGCTCCTGTGAGCCCACTGTGACTCACTTACCCAAAAGGCCTCACCTCCATCAATCGGAATAGTCAACACAATGTACCAATATGTTTCCACACATAAGGACCACGAGATGCTGTCAATAAATAGGCTTGCTTTATAATATATGAGGAACTGGGTTCTTGTCTTACTCACTTTGAACCCTGTAATCCTTTTCTCCTGTAGCATTTCAAACACTGATCACAGTTAGGAACCTGGACCAGAACCTTTGAGAGCAAACTGGGTCTTAGGATTTCGTGGGACGCATTCTGACAATGTAGTTGTTTAACCCTATGCCTAGAGGGTGTGATGCTGCTATTGGCACAAATTAGGCCTAGAAATTGTGTGTTTAAAATGTTCCCTAGAGACCTGTTCTTGACCAGGTATGAACTCTCCCAACTCCTACCACAAAGCACATCCAATCAAGACAAACCTTCTCTCAGTGTTCAGTGCCAGAACGTTACAAAACATAGGCTGAGTTACCTCTGTCATGGAGCAGCACGTGGGATCCATATGCAAGACCCTCAGGCCCATCCCAAGCTCTGTCTCTGCTGCCTCATTCAGCACACAGGGCCAGGTCACCTTGTACACAACGTTCTAGGTCCATCTATGGCTTAGACTCTAAGTCAAACACAAGGACGATTGTTCTGTTCCCAGCCGCAGCCTGCTTTGTGGTTGAGGATGTCTGTAAGTCTCTTGAAAACATCATAAAGTCCTGATTCAGTTAGTTCTAGGGCTTCATGGTGGTTTTCTAAAGGGCTGTGTTCATGAAATCTTGACTTCTAGAATTGAGGAAGCTTTTCTGTGTACCCGTACCACCCAGCAAGTTTTGTTGTGGTTTCTCTCTTAACTATCCCCCTGCACCAGCAGAAGCTGACATTAGCAATGGTCAGTCTGGGTCTGAGTGAGGTCTAAGCTGTGTCACACTGTGGTTTTTGTGTCTCACTTTGAACTAAAACAAGAGACTGCTGAGCTGATATTCTCCGAGAACACTTTCAGATGGTGAAGTCAGGTCTTGTCCTGTGTCTGGGGACCCAGGTGGTTGTAGAGAGCCTGCAGTCCTCATGTTCCTGATGGCTGCATGCCCTGGGCTTGCAGATGTGATGTGGTCAGCGGGCTGGTGAAGCAGGCTTTATTCCTGAGCCTTGTGTATATGCCGGCAAGCAACAACATCTCCCAAAGAGGGCTCTGTGTTTCCTTTTCTGGGACATTCTTTTTTTTTTTTTTAAAGAAAACACAAAATGAATATTCTGAGTTTCTTAGAATCCAAGTATGGCTCGGATGAATGCATCCTGTGTGCTGCTGCTTTGGCTGCTGTGAGCCAACTGAAAGACAGCGATGTCGATTGGGGAATGTAGCTCAGTGGCAAGGGAGCTTGCCTAGCATGCACAAGGTCTTATGTTCAGTCTCCAGCACTGTGAAACAAAGAGATAAGAGACTAAGGGAAAGATACAGGCAAGGGAGCAGGAACAGAGGGAGGGATACACAGATCTCTGTCGCAGAGCCCCTTGGTCCCTACTCTCTAATCCTGCCCCTCAGAGGGTTACCTCTCCTCACAGTATCACTCCTGTCATGGAGTGACCAGACTGTCAGTCTTGCTTCCTGCTGTCCAGGATGCCACTTTCTATCATGCTTCATTCAACTTCTGTGGGGCGTTTCCCCAGCTGAGCTCTTTTTGGCCTTCCTGGCACCCTCAGAACCTTCCTCGTCAGCTGTCTACAATGCTCCATGACGTGAGAATCCTTCCGTCTTCCTCTGGTAGGGCAGTCTTATTCCCCACAGGGTCCTGTTGGTCAGCAGTTATTCTTCAGAATTCAGAATGCCTCTCCTCACTGGGCATGATAGCATACACTTTTAATCCCAGCAGAGGCAGGCTAATCTCTGTGAGTTTGAGGTCAGCCTGGTCTATATAATAAGTTTCAAGATAGCCAGGACTATGTTACAAGAGCCTATCTTAAAGAAGGAAGGGAGGGAGGGAGGAAGGGAAGAAAACAGGGCTGGAAAGATATATCAGCAATTAAGAACACTGGTTATTCTTCCAAGGGACCTGGGTTCAATTCCTAGCGCCCACATGGCAATTAACAACAGTCCGTAACTCCAGTTTCAGGGGATCTGACCACCTTTTCTGACTTTTTTTGTTTGGTTGATTTTTTTGTTTGTTTGTTTGTTTGTTTTTAAAGACAGGGTTTCTCTATGTAACAGCCTTGGCTGTCCTAGAACTTTCAAACTCACAGAAATCTGCCTGCCTCTGCATCCTGAGCGCTGGGATTAAGGGTGTGCACCACAATCGCCTGACCCTTGTATGGCTTTTGTGAGCAATGCACACATAAAGTACACACACATTCATTCAGCAAGGCACCTATGTATTGTACATATAAATAGGAGTAAATAAAACTTTAAAAAACAAACATTCCAATCTTCTTCCTTTCTCATTGCTGACACTGACATAACAGAAAACCGGCATTTCATCCCATCATGATGACATCATGACATAAATACAGTGTACAGTGTAGAACCTTCATCTCCCTTCCCCAAGGCTCCCCCTTCATTGCTTAGACAGCAGCCAAAGAGATTCTAAAGCATTATAATCAGAAGTTGGGTTACCTCCGTGGTAGAGAACTTGCCTAGTATGCACAAGTCCTGGTACCATCCTAAGTACCACAGACAGATAATTACAATTGTAATCTGATCATGGATTGCTTCTGGATATCATCCTTCTATGGTTTCCTAGCCCCTTATCATATCTTTCAAAGTCACATTTAAGATGGACATGGTGACGTATGCCTGTGCAGGAAGGGCAAAAGTTTGAGGCCAGCCCTGGCTATGTAGCAAGGCCCATCTCATATATCGTGAGTGTGTGTGTGTGTGTGTGTGTGTGTGTGTGTGTGTGTGTGTGTGTGTGTGTGATAAAGTTATATTTATATTCTCATAAAGTGTTAGACATGAAAGGAAAATAATGCTGCTACTATACTCTATAAAGATAGGTCATTTAGTGCTTTCTTCCAAGGACATGGAGTAAATGAAAGAGAATTAAACAGCACAGTAATGAAAAGAATGTTATGTCCCTAAGAACTGAATTTCTCAAAGCCCCGCTGAGCAAACAAGTAAGGCTCTGTGCAAAATTAGAGTTGTGCAAATTGAAAGATGCTATGAGAACCTCAAAGCAGGAGCCAAGGTTCTTTTCTAAGTAACTAGCTCCTGACAGGGAGTTAGAGACACTAAAAGGAACTCCTGAGGCGAGGATGGAACAGGGCTGTGAGGTGGGTGTGGATGTCAGGGTGGAGTTCTGGCTTGAGGTCCCTTCTCTTTGTATGCATGGGAGTTTCACATTCCAGAAGCTAGTAACAGCCCTGGTAAAGGCCAAAATAGACATGATCATGTGTGCACCCATGAGATTTTCATGCTGTGTGTGAGAACTAGGACTTGCTAGGATTAACCCAGGGATCTATAGATTATATGTAAATGGGAAAATGGGAATTTCTCATTTCTGTTCCTGAGAAGCCAGCCATCAGCATGAATCAGAAAATTTAGATTCAGCTCAGTTTTTCTTTTTATTTCTTTTTCTCGAGACAGAGTTTCTCTGTGTAGTTTTGGAGCCTGTCCTGGAACTTGCTTTGTAGCCTGCCTCTGCCTCCTGAGTGCTGGGATTAAAGACATGTTCCACCACCGCCCAGTCAGTTTTCTTTTCTTTCTTTTTAAGGATTTATTTATGTGTGTATTTTATGTATTTGAAAGATGGCATCAGATGTCATGGGACTACAGTTGCAAATGGTTGTGAGCTACCATTTGGGTGATAGGAGTTGAACTCAGGTCCTCTGGATGACCAGCCAGTACTTTTAACCACTGAGGCCCCTCATCTCAGTTTTCTTATACAGTGATGTTACTATCAATATCCCAAAGCAGAGAAGGATCAAAATGAAATGCTGGTGTGACTCTTCCGTAGCCCAGTAATTTCCACTGTCATTCCCATATCATGTCCCTTGATTGTAATCCTTAAGATACTAGACACTGTGGATGATGCTGCCCAGAAGGGAGGAGTATCCCCTGTAGAACTCAACAGAAAGGTTTTGAGGAGCACTTGTGTGTTGGGCTTGCCCAGTCCAAGCCTCGTTCCTCTGCTTACCCCTGCTACCCATGAGCCCAGGGCATGTGCTATAATTTACAAAGTGCAGTGACAGAGCTGTCATGAAAGATCAGAAGGGAGTGACACACACTACATATCATTCAGAACCCCTCATATGCCACTCTAGCTCTGGGTCTTCTTACTTAGTTCAGCGGTCCAACTAAATCAGTTCTTGGTCACAACTCAGTTTAATGGTATAGATAGAGATTAGCAAACTTGTTTGGTAAATGTCTTAGCTACTTTTCGATTGCTGTGAAGAGACAAAATGATAAAGGCAACTTATGAACGAAAGCATTTAATTGGGGCTTGCTTACAGTTTCATAGATGAGTCCATGACCATCCATAAGCATGAGACAGAGAGAGACTGGAAATTGTTTGGGCTTCCAGTTTCAAAGCCCACCCCCAGTGATACTTCCTCTATCAAGGCCACACCTCCTAGTCCTTTCCAAACAGTTCCACCAACTGCAAACTGAGCAGTCACAGACAACAGCACATGATTAGGCATAACTGTGTTCTAACAAAACTTTATTTATGGAGCAGATGATTAGTTTGATTGCAAAGCCTGTATAAGAAAAGGATGTTAAATTGTCCTATAATTGTCAGGTATATCTTCTATTTTGGAAACAGAATAATTTTTTGGACAAGGGACTGAGGAGATGGCTTAGTAGGTAAGAGTACTTGCTGTGCAAGCATGACAACCTGAATTCAATGTTCAACACCATGTAAAAATCTTGGTATGACTATGGTGCACCTTTCCCTCAGCACCATGAGGGACAGAGACACATGGATTACTGGGGCTACCTGGCCAGCCATTCTACCCAAAACAGCAAGCTCCTGGTTCAGTGAAAGACCCTGACTCAAAGGAATAAAATAGAAAGGGATAGAGCAGGACACCAGATGTCCCTCCAGCCTCTATATATAGACGCGCAAGTACATATATCACACACACATGCCCACACACACACATGTGCATGTACACACACACACACACACACACACACACCATTTAAAAAGTTGAATAACCATTAGACCATTTCTCCCCCTCACACCAAAACTCATTTATTTTTATAAAATGTGGGACAGATGCTGATTAAAATAGAATGAAATTAAAGACTAGGTACCACTCACTTGTCTGTTATCATCAGGTACGACATCATGTACTCTTGCTGGAGTGCCGATCCCTTGGACCGACCCACCTTCTCAGTGTTGAGACTGCAGCTGGAAAAGCTCTCTGAGAGTTTGCCTGATGCACAGGACAAGGAATCCATCATCTACATCAATACCCAGTTGCTAGAGAGCTGCGAGGGCCTGGCAGACGGGCCCTCCCTCCCTGGGCTAGACATGAACATTGATCCTGACTCCATCATTGCCTCTTGTACTCCTGGCACTGCCACCAGCGTGGTCACGGCAGAGGTTCATGAGAACAACCTTCATGAGGAGAGATACATCTTGGATGGGGTCAGTGAAGAATGGGAAGATGTGGCCTCCACTCCTTGTGCTGCAGCCGCATCTGGAAAGGATGGTGTCTTACCAGAGAACAAACTCACCAAAAGTGGGATCTCCTGGTCTCACTGCAGTACGCTACCATTGGGGAGCCCACCCCCAGATGAACTTTTGTTTGCAGATGACTCCTCAGAAGGCTCTGAAGTCCCCATGTGAGGCCAGCTGAGTGGAGGCCTGATAGGACCAAGCACGCACTGCTTCATGGGATCCGGTTGCCTTAGTTACCTTACTATTGCTGTGATGAAACACTGTCAAGGCGACCTATGAAAGGAAGTATTTGGTTAGGGTTACAGTTTTGGGGTTAGTATTTGGTTAGGTTTACAGTTTTGGAGGTTAGAGCCCATGACTGCAGAAGGAAGCAAGAGATGGAGAATACTCTGGGAAATGGCACCATTCTTTGGAAACCTCAAAGCCTGGTCCCAGTGACACACCTTCTTCAATAAGACCACACCTCCTGATCCTTCCCAACAGTTCCACCAACGGGAGCCTCAGCACTCAGACATGAGCCATCCCCATTCAAAGCCACACACTGGTTATGCCTGATACTTTGGCATTTTTTTCCTCATCTTCTTGTAAAGTCGGTGTCCTGACAGCACCAGGTGAATGCTGTCAAGTCAATTTTCACTATAAATACATAACCAGTGTCTGGAGAGATGGCTCAGGGGTTAAAAGTGCCCGCTCTTCTTGCAAAGGGCCTAAGTTGAGTCGCCAGCAACTAAGTCAGGTGGCTCACCACCACCTGTAACTCCAGATCTGATACTCCCTTCCAGCCTCTGAGGTCACCTGCACACAGGAGGCATACTCACATACAGTCATATAGAAATCAAAATATATTTTACAACAAATAAACAGCAAACCTGGGGGTGTAGTTCAGCAGCTGAGTGTGTGCTTCTCCTGTGGACTGCCCTGCGTCCCATCCCCAGACCCCCAAACAATGCAGAATAAAAACACGGAGGCTAGGGGAAACAGCTGGGTTGGAAAGTCCTTGACTTGTAAGCATTAGGATGTCAATTTGATCCCCAGAGCCTATGTAACAAAAAAGTTGGGTGTGGTGGCACAAGCTTGTAATCTCAGTGCTGGGGAAGTGGAGACAGGTGGATTTCTGACACTCACAGGGCAGTCAGCCTAGGTGAGTCCCAGGCCAAGTGAGATCCTGTCTCAAAGAAAAAAGGTAGACAGCACCTGAGGAGTGATACTTAATGCTGTCCTTTGACCTCCATACACACACACACACACACACACACACACACACACACACACACTCACCCCAGCGTGTACACACAAGAAAAATATAAATAAAATACATAATATATTTATTTAAAGAGAGAACATATATGTATATGGTGGAAAGAGACAGGGATATTATATTTTAATAAAAGATGACTTATTTCACTGACCTTGCAGATCTTAAAATGTATTCCTCAGTGTTAACATTTGTAAAGAATCAATGTTGCTTTTTAAAGTTGTTTTCTTTTCTACAGTATTAAATGTAAGAGTGTTTGTAAAATGAAATACCAGATTTGACTTTATTCAGTTTTTTTTTGGTTTTTTTTTTTTTTTGCCTTCTTGAGAAGCCTGGTATGCCTCCATGAATCGTGTGTGTGCTAAGAGTGATTTATCTAATGTTCAAGACTTTATAGCTGGTCCTCTGGTGTGACTTCCTAGTGAAATACAAATGAGGAAGGACATGCTCAGAGTGCTTCAAACTTGGGAAGACAGCAGTCACCGGCAGCCCTGAAACCTTTGCAAAGGAGTTCCCCTAACGGCTGTCCCTCGCCACAGCTCCTCTGCCAGTTCTTAGCATGGCTTTTGAGAGAAATGGAAAAACCACCTCAGAAGTCTGTAGAAGAATGACTGGCAAGAAGGCTCATCTGGTAAAGGTGCTTGTTACCAAGCCTGATGTCCTCAATTTGATCCCTAGGCCTGACAGGGGGGAAACAGAGAACCAACAAAGATGTCCTCTGACCTCACATAGGCACCCACCCACACATATACCCACTAAACAAATAAATTAGTAAATAAATAAATGCAATTTTAAAGAGTTCATAAATGAGAAATAAGAATAATAAAGGATTCAAGATTATATCTACTGAGAAGATTTCAAATAAACGGAGCAAGAGTTTGACAGGTGAGTCCTGTTTCTGTTGGAGAGGTGTCACTCACAGGAGGTGGACAGGGCAGGGCCAGGACATAGGCTATAGAGTCTTGCCATCTCAATTCCTGGCTCAGTCATCTCTTGTTCAGCGCTTTCCTTGTTTCCAGCCCTATACATGTATGTATGTTCCCTTTACTGTGTGCCCTTATACCATGGGTACCAGTGTCATCATCACATTTAGACCAGGACAGTTAGCCTTGGAAAGACAGAATAACTGCTTATGGCCCATGTCTAGAGACTGTGAGAGCCAAAATTTAGAACATTTGAATAAGCACATGGTTTAGGGACTGTACTAGTAAGTTTCACATTACAGCCGGGCGTTGGTGGCACACACCTTTAATCCCAGCACTTGGGAGGCAGAGGCAGTCGGATCTCTGTGAGTTCAAGATCAACCTGATCTACAGAGCAAGTTCCAGGACAACAGCCAAAGCCACAGAGAAACACTGTCTCAAAAAAAAAGTTTCACATTACAACAAAATGCAGCTGTTCTCAGCCTGTGGGTCATGACTTCTTTGGGGGTCAAACAATACTTTCACAGGGGTCACCTAAAGTTATCTGCATATCAGGTGCTTACATTACTATTTATAACAGTAGCAAAATTAGTTATGAAGTAGCAACAATAATTTTATGGTTGGGGAACCACCATATGAGGAACTGTATTAAAGGGTCACAGCATTAGGAAGGTTGAGAATTACTGCACTAGGGGCAAATAACTTTTTTTTAAGTTAAGGTTTATTTAGTATACAATTTGGAGATTACAGTCCTAGATACGGCAGCCCCTTGGCTCTGCCTTTAGTGAGGATGGCAGATGGAAGGGCTTGAAGAGGCATGTGCTCATGTGCAGAGCGTTAGCCGGGAAGCAGAGGCCAAGGTCCCACAGTTGCCTTTGGGACTACTCTTCCAAAGACTGAAGGGCCTCTACAAGATCCCACCTCCCTGGGAGCCCCAGGGGAACACTCCCCCAGATCATATTAGGGTTCAACTCCAAAGCCTCTAGACATTATATTTGCTATACTCAGATGTCATTCACTGTGTGCCATTTAATTTCATGGTAGGGATTACACTATCCCTGCTCCACAGGTGTGCAGACTGAGATTGGAAGAAACTGATACTGTCCATGGAAACACTGGGCAGATCCAGGGCCCTTGGCATCATCAGAGCTGTTTGCTTCAAACTTGAGAATGAGCTCACCCAGGCTGCAGCAGCCTTCAGGGATCAGAGTACACAGGGTTCAGGACTGCAGTCTTCCATAGCAGAGTCCTGGCTTCAGCGGCCAGGCCAGGCCAGGATCCCTGTCTCCAGGGTGGCTCTCCTGTCACTGTGCAAATGTTCTGAGAAGCTTAGACAAATCTGCATCCTTATCAAATGTCAGCATCACATTTTATTAGTGAAGGGACAAACAGACAATCATAGCCTATAATGATATGCTGGGGGTCGGAGAACTGCTCAGCAGTCAAGAGCACAGGTTACTCTTGCATGGCACCTAAGTTTGGTTCCCAGCACCCACATGGTAGCTCACAACTGTCTGTAACTCCAGGTCCATTGAATCTGACACTTGCCACCCTCTTTTTTTTATTGTTTTTGAATTTTATTGAAATGTTTTTCATCTATTTTACATACCAACAACTTTCCCCTCCTTCATCTCCTCCCATCCCCCATTCACTCTTCCTCCATCTCCATTCAGAAAGGGGCAGGCCTCCCATGGGAGCCAACACAGACTGGAGCTGAGGCAGGACCAAGCTCCTCTGCATCAGGGTTGGGCAAGGCAACCCAGTTTGGGGAATAGGTTCCCAAAAGACAGCTTGAGCTCCAGGTACAGGTCCTGATCCCAACTAGGTGCTCCACAAACAGACCAAGCTACACAACACATTCAGAGGTCCTAGGTGGGTCCCATGCAGGCTCCCTAGTTGTCAGTCCAGAGTCAGTGAGCTCCCACAAGCGCAAGTCGGTATCTCTGTGGGTTCCCCTGTCTTGACCTTAATCCCCCACCCCACTTTCTTCAGCAAGACTCCCAGAGCTCGGTCCAGTGCCTGGCTGTGGATCTCTGCATCTGCTTCCAACTTGACACTCTGTAGTGGAGTGTGGACACCAGGCAAACACATAGTATGTATACATACATGCGGACAAAGTAAATTCTCGTGTATATAAAATAAAAACGCATAAATATTTAAGCCCAATTAAGGGGCTGAAGAGATGGCTCAGTAGTTAGAGAACTTGCTGCTCTTGCAAGAAGACCTGAGATCAATTTTCAGCACCCATGTCAAGTGGCTCACAACTGCTTGTAACTCCAGCTCTAGGGAACTCCCTGGTCTCTGGCAGCATCTGAATGCAATTACACACACACACACACACACACACACACACACACACACACACACACACACAAATATTAAAGGTTCATGTTTTGTTGTTTGCTTTGTTGTGGTTTTTATATTTGTTTGTTTTTTCAGAGACAGGGTTTCTCTGTGTACCTTTGGAGCCTGTCCTGGAACTTGCTCTGTAGACCAGGCTGGCCTTCAACTCACAGAAATCCTTCTGCCTCTGCCTTCCAAGTGCTGGGATTAAAGGTGTGTGCCACCACAGCCCTGCTTAAAGGTTCATGTTTTTAAAAATATTTTAAACATGTATTACTGAAATTTTGTGACTAGTTTTAAAATTAATAAAACACATTTTTGTTTGTTTTGTTTTTCAAGACAGCATTTCTCTGTTTAATATCCTTGGCTATACTGGGACTCCAGGCTGTTCTCAAACTCACAGAGATCCACCTGCCTCTGCCTGCCAAGTGTAACACCATGCCCCACTAATAAAACACTTTTTAACAAGTTTTCTTGTTGATGGTACCCATAAGAGTTTGGAGAATTTGGGCCAGTGAGATGGCTCAATAGGCAAAACGGTGCTTGCCACCAAGCCTTACTCCCTGAATCCCGTAATCTGCATGGTGAAAAGGAAGAACTGACCCTAAGTCGTCCTCTGATCTCTGCACAAGGGCAGTCAGTGGCACACGCGTGCACACACACGCACACATACTAATCCAAAACACTGTTAAAGCATTTGAAGAGATCTAGACTGTTAAGAGAAGCTTTTTCTTTGCTAGCCGCTTTGGTTTATCACCCGCCAGCCGCCTGGGCTCTGCCGCATTGTAGCCCCCAAATAAACACACAGGATGCTATATTAATTATGAAGCTGTTGGCCTTGCTTGTCTCTTACTGGCTAGCTCTGCTTTAAGTAATTACCCCATAATTGTTAATCTAAGTATGTCTCTTACCGGAGAATAGTTCTGGGCTCCTACCCCCATGGCGGTTACATGTTGACTCTCGAGTTTCTCCTTCCCAGAATCCTCCTGGACTCCTAGTCCCTCCTATCTTGGTTCCCTATAGGCTCAACAGTACTTTATTGACAAATAACAGGCAAATAACAGGACTTCCCCAACACTAGACAATATGAGTCTGGGGTGGAGAACAATGGCTGCCCTTGCACAGGACCCGAGCTCAGTTCCTGCATCCACATGGTGGCTTACAGCCATGGCTAACCATGGCTGCAAGGGATCCAAAGTTCTTTGCAGGCACCAGACACACAGTGGTGTGCGTATATACATGCAGGCAAAACACTCAAATACATGAACTGAAAATGAAGAGTTAGAACAACTTTTCATGGAAGTCCTGGTTAGGGATCAAGAAAGGCTCATTTAAACAACAAAACCATAAATAGAAAGGAAGGTGCATATCTGCTGTTTCCTATAAATTTTATATTAATTATCTAAACTATTATACGTTGGGTCTTATATTTTTAATGATATGTTATAAAAAGTATACAATGGATAGTTAATCAAATCCTACCCAGATGACTGTTCTCCGTGTGGCCTGGGTCAGGGCTGCTGTAGCAGTGTAGGGGGTGAGCAAGCCAGGACGTCTGGTTTTCCTTGAGATGTAAACAAGCACAGCAGAGATGTTCGCCCCGTCCAGCTACACAGCCATGGCCCTAGTGTTGCTGCAAAGTGATGTGATGTAGCAGATGAAGCGGGACTACTGCAGTGACAAATTACTTCCTTCCAGCAAGAAGTCAGATCATGACCGGTGGTGGTGGCAAACGCCTTTAATCCCAGCACTCAGGAGGCAGAGGCAGGCAGATCTCTGTGAGTTCGAGGCCAGCCTGGTCTACAAAACTAGTTCCAGGACAGCCAGGACTGTTACACAGAGAAACTATGTCTTGAAAAACAAACAAACAAACAAATAAGTCAGCCCATGTACTGAAAAGGAGACACTATTTTAGCTCTCAGTTCTAATAGCTTCCTATTGTTCAAGGAGGTTGTGGCCCTGATCAAAAACCTCTCACAGTTTAAGTAAAGTTTTAGCTATAA